TTGCGCAATTATATAAAAACTGTTATGCGAAAGCTTGGTTCAGTAACAGTTTATATTTTGTGACGTTTGTACGGTCCATTGGAATTTGATGTGAAACGCATTCAGAGCATCCAGAAACCACGTGTACTATTAACTGGCAGGATAAAAAATAGTGCTGGTCGCGTGACTGCCAAAATGAAAGAATGAAAGTTAGTTTTTTGGTACACAAAATAACACCAATACAATCACTGACATGACCGTCAGAATTGACAAACGTCAAAATTCAAAGCGTGTATCTCCAAAAACATCCGATTGCTCCCAAATCCGTGCGGTAAAATCCCGGAAATGTCCGAAGTGGCTCGGATTCATGGGAAACGAAACTGACGTGGTAAAGTGACGCCTCCCGCACACTAGATCCGTGAGTAATTGGCTATTTTACAGACGGGAGTAGAAAAATCACTTTTTCATAACCAAACAGTTAATAATAAAGTAAACTCATCCAAACGTAAAGTCTATTTGCATAAAAAAAAAATTAAGCATTTCCAACAGATTCTTGATTTCAGATGTGTTCAAGTATCACTACCATCCACAATACGAAAGACATTTGGTTTAATAAGGAAACATAGAAGCTGTTCTCATCACTCATAGGTTGGATTGAGTAAATAAGGTAGCACGCTAAGCTTCAATTGCCTTTTATAATGCAATTGCAATTATTTAAGAGCACATTTTTCAACTAATGAATATATTTTTCAATACTCGTTATGTTATGTTGATATGGCAGTTTTTCAAAAAAAAAAAATGCAAATTCGAATCAAAAAATATAGCTACAAACACCGAAAATAGTATTCTAAGGAGAATAAAATATATAGACCGGCACGAGTTGCACAAATACTCGGTTTATATAATCCAAAAGAAAAAATACCAACTGCAGAATATAGCAACTTCTCTGTGCCGGTTGGCCGCTCCCGCCGAAAGAATTTTAAATTTGTATATCCCCGGACAGTACCATCGTAGCGAGATATTTATCATTACTAATGTGACAAATTGGAACGATTGTACATGTCAAAAATCTGGATAGCGGCAAATAGTAACAATTTTAGATGAAAATATTTTTATATTTCATGGCTGAGAAACATTTTGAAAGCAACATTAAAACAAATAACAAAACAAAACAAAACAAAAAATATCAAAACGTTTACCCGTATACCAATTGCATGTAACTAAATCCTTTGACAAAACACACCTCGAGAGAAAGACTATACGGCATACACACAGATTTATTGCGATAGCAAAGTATACCACACCGGGTTCCATTTGCAAGAGGCAAGAGGCAAATCGATGATATCGAAGAAATTATTAGTACATAAAGTTATACTCAAACTAAAGACATCTCAAGCGTTTCATTTTGCGATTGAGCCCCAAATTACAACCCAGATTTTTTGTTTTGCCTCGGGTTTTAGTGAAATAGATGTACTGCTAAAAATAACAATAGGAATTTTGTCTAAGTTGAGGAATATGTTTTAAATGTTCCTCATAAGTTATTAGAATAAACTTTTCCTAAAAATTGACGTACAAAATGTACGTAAAGACCTTTTTTTTCAAAGAAACTTCCACTGCGTCGGTTTTTGCTGACTCGAACTTGCTGACGTTTCGCCAATCATCCTGTTGGCTTCTTCAGAGCAGTTTCAGTCAAGCTCTGAAGAAGCCAGGGGAATCCAGAAGTTTTGTAAAAAGTATTACGTAAAGAACATATTTCAATCAATTACATTTATTCTTTACAGTTTTCAAAAATCAAAAACAGCAGATTATAAGCTGATTTAACGTGACGTTACTGTAGAGATTGCTTCGTTTTCGTGGTGGTGTTTAATTTGAAATTTCGATTACAGGACCAAACGCAGTGTGTTGTGTTGAGGTGTCGTGATTATTCGCGTGAAGAACAATCGAGAATTGGATCGATTTCCAGGTTCTCTACGTCGCTTGGCACTGTGAATTTTTGGTGCGCGGCGAACGAATACTATTGGACAATGACTTGGGAAATAAAATTTAGAATGGTTGCGTTGTATGGTTTATGTTGATATTGCTTTAAAAAATAGTTCATTTTGTGCTTTTATTGATTTATCCGAGCCTTCAAAAAAAAAAAATGCAAATGCAACACAAATTGCTCTGTCGACGGATGTCAGTCGAGAAATATTAAATAACAATTATCTGAATAGCTTTTGGTGTAAAAAGTTTATGCTTTGAACTTACCTCCCAAGCAATATACTTGCATTTTCTCCAATACGCAGCTTTACGACTACAAGTAACGCGATATATGGATACTTGGTATGCTACAATATTTGATTGGCCCATAATTCCCTAGGGAGTACTTTTAATTTTGTTGTTGTGAATTAATTAAAAAATAATGGCACATTCTCACTTGTCCATCTTTTTACGCAAATAATCAAAAACTTCCTTTTTCTACTCTCTTCTGTAAAAACTTACTTAGGACAGTTCGCTGATCAAAAGTTTGGTGTTCGGGTGAAGTTTTAAACTGTGGAAGTTGGTTTTGGACTTGTCCAAAACGGTCCCTGATTCACATCAAGTGCTGTTGTAGGATTCATTCTGACGGCCATTTTTTACTATCAATAAAATGCAGTTTGCTATTTGTCGATTTGTGAGGGTTGGTGAACTCGGAGTATGCTGTCAGTTTTATGAAAGAGTATTTCCTTAGCCGTCGATGCTTTGGAGTTATTTCTATTACGTCTTGTGTTTGTAATTAGCAATTACTAACCAATTGTTATTCAATTGTTTTTCACTCAGTGTGCCATTTTATCACATCTTATTAGAATTTATTTCTTTCCAAATACTAACGTTATTCAATTTGGTTAGTCCAGCGACGAAGAAGTTGAGATTGTGGTCGACGACGTATTAATCGTTGATGATGGACATCCGTCAAATTCAAATTGATCAAACACTGGGACCAATTTGCCAGTTGCTGCCAAAATTATAATTTTAAATGTGTTTCTGTTTCTGAAATCGATATCTGGGGAAAGTGGAGTCGTAAAATAAACGTCTGAGATGACTAAAACTCCGTATGCCTACAAAACGTGACATAGTGGTGAATGGTGTCCCAGAAAGAAAAACGCAGAAAGATCGTGGAGTCCCAAAAAGCCTACTGGACATGCACCATGCCGGATTGGTTAGACGGTTGATTTGATGCATATCGGAAGAATGTTGCTTAAACAATTAAAACTTTACATGAAGAGTTGGATAGTGTTTTAAATATTGACTGTTGCCAAGAGACTTTGCGTGCGTTGGTACGAAGAATTGGTTTTTATTACGAAACCAGTTTTGATGGAATTAAGTAGAATTTCGGAGTGGAGAACAAGATATTTGACCGAAATCCAAGAAATTTCGTGCTAAAACCGTCCCCGTCATATGTTTAGATGAGACCCGGTTTGAGCGACAATGTCGTCAAGAAAAGATAGACTGATGGTAACAGTAGGAAATGTTCATTGGCTACGTGCGGGCTCTGAATCTGGTTGGGTAAATAACGCTTTGTTGCTTTTTGAAAAAGATGTCAAAGAAGCCAAGGTTGACTACCACGAAAACCTAACAGCAGACATCTATAAAAAAAAACTCTGAACAATTGTTCTCAATATTCCACCAAACATTGTTGTAGTGGTGGATCACGCCAGCTACCATTCTGCACAAAATACCGAAATCAGTATTAATTAAAGAAGTCATTCAAAATGTTTAGAAGAAGTATAATGTGGACAAGTTGGCCATGGAGAGGGGATTCATAGTTGTTCGTCTTTCACCATATCACTGCAATTTTAATCCGATAGAACTGATATGGGTACAGCTAAAACCCAGTTTAATAAGAAACATCGCCTCGCCGAAATTTAGTTCTGGGGCAATAGAATTAATTAAAAGTGAAATAGACAAAATATCTGCTTCTAGTTGGAAAAAATGTATGTCCAGTGACGATATAGAATAACATTTAATAAATTTATACATTTACTCCTTCATTTCTATGTATAACAATAGTATATCATGCAACAAGTGCGGTAAACGGCATTTGACTCACGAGTTTATTTGGCACGAGCGGAGCGCAGCCGAGTAAGTTCTTAATAAACGAGTGAGATAAAGAGTTTACCAAACGTGTTGCGAACTATACTTTCTCTACGACCGTCACAAAATAAAATATTTACTAGTTGCCATTAAACCTATTCGTTTATCGTTCCGATCGGTTTTGCTATTGTTTCTTTTTAACTGTGTACGTTAGGCAGAGAGAGAGATATATTATTGGGTACGTCATATAAACAACGCATTAAAAACAATTTTAAAACGTTATGTTATTTATTTAACTTTTGCAATTGATCATTAAGTAGTTTATTTAAAAAAAAAAAAAAAACTGTAATTGGAAGAATAATCTTCCAAGGATAGAGCTTTTAAAAGGGTTAAATTTTTAAGATCGTATAAGCAAGAAAAAGCACGTCCTTACTTTCAATTTTGTTTTGTTTGTACTGATGAGATATGGATATTTGAAAATCGTACAATTGGTCTTGGCAAGATATTAGGTAATATAAAAACTGCAAAAAACCACTAAAGTTCATGTGAACGGTAAGTAAAATTTCTGTGTGGAAACTTAAACTATAAATGTCACTTTACTTACTGACTAGTCCACTAGATTTTAATTGTAGCTTATACCACGTAGTATTTAAATTGTCTGATATATTGCATAACACTTTTCTGTGCATTAGTTTTTGGAAACATTTTTGCAAAACAACACGAATACATTCACTAACATCACCGTCAGAATCGAGAAACGTCAAAATTCAAACCGCGCGGTAAAATCTCCGAAAACATCCGATTGCCCCCAAACCCGTGCGAGGTAGGCCCGCGGTTAAAACTTCATAAAGTTAAATAGCGGATTATGCAGTAAAAACGGTATATCGTCGGGCGGACTATACAAGGATACGCGAAATACTTTTTGTTTTCGTTCAGTAGCGCGTTCGTATTCGCAAATTGTCACTTACCTATTATAAATCCTACAGGTGCTGTTATTAATCCTTTTGTCGCTGGCGTGTCTCCGTCGATCCTCGAACAGATCCTTCACCGCGGTAACGCCAAGCACAAACATAACCGGTATCATCGCGATTTCCTTACCGAACGCGTTAATTGCCGGGAACCAGTTCAGCAACAAGATAAAAATGAAATACAAATTCGCCATCCTGTGAAACTGTTCGAGCAAGTTCCGGGGCAGAAAACTTAACAGCGTATACTTTGTCGTCCTTATCCGATTGTCCGGTCTGCGGCCGTTCGGGTGCTCTTTGCGCGGCGTTTTGGGCGGTACCACGTGGTTGGGAACGACGACGCGGTACCGTTCCTCCGGGTCGTGCTTGGGGGTGCGCCGGGTTAAGAAAAACAGTACCCGTTGCCATACAGAAGGTGGGGCCGATCTGCGCAGAGTGTATATCGATTCCGATCTTGACGCTTGCCTGTAAAGAAAATCGTCACTATTTTAAGTATTACTTATAATTATAGGCTATTTCAAAAAGATCTCATTAGATATGCAAAGATAATATAGAGTGGGTCCAAGGAATACTAAAGCTACTTTCATTGTTTGGCATTCACTTTATTACAAAATTCTCTCTTTTGGAGTGAAGGTACTAACTAGTAGCACCACCACCACCACGACACTGAAACGGCCAACGGCTTCCCGACAGCATATACTCGTAAAAAGGAAAGAATTTTATATTACTCTTTAAAAATTTATTATAAAAAATTAAATTATAAAAAATCATAACGTTCTTCGTCATCTGAGGAACTGTCTGCTCCTTTTGACGTTATAATTAGATAGATAGATAGTTTTTTATTCCAAAAATTGTTACTCATGTTAACAATAAATGAAATAACGTCAAAAACCCGCAGTAGGTCAGCAACAACTAGCTACAACAATGGTAATACTACATTATATTCTTAATGTTAGATAAGCTATATGAATAAAGTTCAATTAAGAGTTTTTTAATTTCCCTTTTAAACGCAGTACTTTATTAATTCGTCTAACATTCAGAGGTAGTTTAATAAACAGTTTTTTTACACTTATAAAGTACCCTCCCGGGACCAGAAAAAGGGTACTCTATAAGCGGAAGTACGCAATAAAAAAACCCAAAAAAATATGTAGGTAGCTACATATTTTTATTTTCTATAAAAATAGAAAACTATTAAACAGTAATATAGGTACTAAAAAATGAAAGAAACTAAATTACCTAAGCTAAAAACTTATCTATGTAAACTTTACAACATACAAGTAAAAATACATTCTTTATTCTATTTGAGTAAAAGAAATCGTTAGTTTTGTTTGTTTATTTTTTCTCAATACAAATTTCATACTCTCGATATGCTTCGCAACCTTCCAGGACGCTTGCATGACATTATCAGTAGACTGTGAAAAATTTGTAGCAATTTTAGCGGCACAAAGCGCTTCAGAATAACTTGGTACTTCGTCCTGTACACCATCGTCGCTTTCTTTACCAGAGCTTTGAGGATCATTTGGCTGTAAAACTTCAGTAATAATATAATTATCCGTTAATAACTCCGTTGTTATTAAATTATCTTCAACAGTTGGGAAACCATCCAGCTCATTTCAATGTTGGTTAAATCTGGGCCGATATTACGCAACCAATTACTTAGGGGAATCTTCTAGTCGGCGTCGTCATTATTTTTGTACCTCCCGAACCACTGAACCAGAGGTTTCCGATTTTATCAGACCTGCATGTCGAAAGCAGTTTGAAATAGTGGTTGAAGTAACATCACTCCAACATTGTGCAACTAATTTTATGGAGTCTAGGATAGCGATGTTGAAAAGTTCCTTATTTTCAAATGACTGGATCAAACCACACAAAAATATTTGCGGTAATACGTCTTAAGGCATTTTATTATGCCCTGATCCATTGGTTGGACGACTGAGGTGCTATTGCAAAGCAATATTTTTCTCTTCTGACGATTTAGTTTTTCATCCCAATTCTTTAAATATATATATAAAAATTGTTGAAGTCAATCACGCTCGCTGCTTTGATTTATAAATGAAACGTAGATTTTTCACAATATTAATACCAACAAGAAGAAGTTTGCATTTTTCGCTTCGACTGCTTCACACTTTTCTCCTATAAATTTTAAGGGTAGCCCAGGATGTGACGAACTTTAAAATGTTCGAGACAACTTGTAGAACAATTACAATCCTCACCCTGTAATCCCCTAGCTAATTTTCAGAACTGGACCACTTATTGCAATATTTTCGGATCTTCGAACTTGAAACCATCATAAAAGGGCTTTATCTACATCTGAACGTACAGAATTTCTAATTTTTTGTATGCTGTGCGATTTACACTCACTTGCTTTCTTGAACTTTTTGCGATTTCTCCAAATTGTAGATATTGTTGTTTTTGTCAATTTCTTTTGGCTACCAATTGCCGCCTTATCGAGGCCACTCTCAATACTTCTGATAATCTCCATCTTTTCTTTTACAGTTAAAGACTTGCGCCGATCCGTCATTTTAACCATAAACTCAAAAAATAGTGCTTAGCGCATCTTTTCATAAAACAATGAAGTGGAAACTCTCAGCAGGACACGCACGTTTCAGAGAAAACCTCGCAAATGATTACTTACACTCGCGTACACTCGTACTTTATAACCAGAACAATAGTCAAAACTATTGAACTTTGTAACCGTAGTAGTTATGTATATGGTACGTAATATCCGATGAAAAATCAAGGTATTTTGACCGGACCAATAAAATGCGTACGTAATACCCGGAAGTGCGTTATAAACGGAGTTTACTGTACATATGCAAGACTCTTTTGTTTGATTTGCAAGCGGTGTCAGGGATAGGTGTAATATTCCGTTCTCGTATCATAATTTTCTGTATTTAGTCGTTGGAATAAATGTTTATTTCTATGAAGGAACATAAGGAGTTTGTTTAAACACATTTCGGTACGTTTGATTATATTCCATTTTTCTAATTACTCTGATTAACCTTTTCTGACTTATAAAACAGTGTTGAATGGTACTATTTTTTCCCCAAAATGTTATTCCGTATTTCACTCTTCATTCGAAGTTAGCAAAATATAATACTGTTAGTGTTTTTTGGTTCAAATACCTACCATACCAGATAACTAACTATATAACTAACGAACCTTCTCAGGGTCTTTTAATTAAATAAAATCCGCAAATGGAGGTTATAGCTTCCACGTTTCCTGGTCCAAGAATTTTTCCAAAATAGTAAATGGTTTTCGAGAAAATAAGTTTTTTCTGAAACCATGCAGTGTGCCGTGATAATCAATGTGTCTTGACTGAGCCCCCGAAATTGCGATTTTAATATAGATTTTTTCAAATATCTCTAGCAGCGTATGTGATAGAGGAAAACCGCAAACACAAAATTTGTAGCGCTTGATGCGGGCCTATGAACCTATTAGCCATATTTTTTTCGATTTTTGACTTGCGGTTAATAATTTACGTTGTAAAAGAACAATTTGCTAGGTCTTTTAGATTTTTGCTTATATTAATTTATTTATTTATTAAAGAATTTTGCCCATCGGATGAATGATTATGGAGGAAAACATATTTTTCTGCAAGACTAAAATTAACAAAAAAAAAATTCAAAAAATACTTGATACCTGCAAATTCAGGACACTTAACACATTTCCTATTTCGCACGGAATATCGGGAACACCTTGTACAACAGGTGAAAACCTTAAATACAAAAGTATTAGCTGTATATGCCGGCTATATCGCAATGTAAACAAAGTGACATCTGAATCATAGTCTTTCAGTTATAACTAATTTTCAAGAATAAGGGGACCATTTTTTCAGTGTTTTTTTAATTTGCGACGCAGCCTGTATATTTTTGAAAAATTGTCAAGAATAAAAGTTTATGGAGCCGTATCTTTTGCGTCTTCTTGTTTACGAATTTTTTTGGTCTCATAAACCGTTTTTGAAAAATGATGTTTTGTGTAGAGCGTTGCACACACCATTTTTTAAAAATTGAACTGAACAAAATAAATAAGAACTAAAAGTTCTGATTTTCACGAAATTATATATTTTGACATGTCATGTCAAAATATTAAATCTTTTAGTTCTTATTTATTTTGACACCATTTTTTATTTTTTTAGAATACTTCCCGACCCCCCCCCCCCCCATTTGCAATAGATTGTTGAAAGATATGAAGAAATTATACGCATATACGCAAACACCAACACAGAAAACATGCTGGCTAACACTAGTGCAATAAAATAATATCTGTTGCCTAAATATGTTCGTAATAGCTAATAATAAATTAAAGAATAATACGTAAATATTCCCCAAAACCCATTCATTATACAGTTGATTTGACAAGAGGGATGGAGTTAAAATATAAACATGGATTTACTTAAGAGTTGCTTAATCCACTAGTAATGATCGCAAATTGTAGTTTATGATGCCCGTGACCCACGAATATCAGTGGAAACTTCAAAACTTGCCTGGAATGTCCTTTGGCACTGGTCCTCGATACAACCCCTTCGCCGCTATCTGTATCTTTATAACCGGGGGGCAAAATGAAATCGGTTTTCGACCCCACCCGGGAATGGCCGGGTTTGGTGGATTCCTTTACACCCACGCTACCGGCATCGCTGATCTGACCCTGCGAGAAGGCCCTCTGGTGACCGCGGGAACCCTTCAACGCGGACCGACCAACCACCCCCGCGGAATTGCTTGACCCTACGAGGACGGTCGTACCGCCGCCGTGGCTGACGCTACGTGAATGGCCTCGGGAATCCTGCGGTGAGCGGATGCGGTGTGTCGGGGTTTCCGGGAATGTATAAGTCGTGGAGGGTGATTGGAAGTGGTGGGTGGGATTGTTGATGCCGGTTGGGATGTCCGGTGGAGCTGAAGACGCCGCTCTTTCCTGGTGACCGGGAGTGAAGTTCGACATAATGCCAAATGAACTGGAAAAAGAGAAATCGTATTGCAAGTATGCACAGTAAAAGCATTGATGTTATGCGACCAAAAATATAATGCTTTGACGTTTTAAGTATATTACAGTACCTTAACCGCAGACCTTGGTAGGACCGTGGTTAAAACCCATCCCAACAGATGTTTATTCTACATTAAGTCTTGCCTTTGCAGAAACTTGAAATTATCATTTGAAACATAAGTGGACCGTTTTAAATTTGATTAAGTGTTGATGCTGCGGGGTATTTTCGGATATTACGGAGGTACTTGACTGTGATCCTTTTCACTGGATAGTTCAAAGGGTATAAGTAAGTACTCAGTACTCTATTTGTTACAGCTAAGTTTGAAAACAATCGTTTTTGTCTTGTGTGCCTGTCAATTAACAACATTCTTCTTCTTGTGCTTTTGTGTCTTCTACATAGTTCTTCGATTTGTCATTTTTTGAGATTATATTCGCGGTAGATAAAGGTGCGTCATAAGAATACAGATAAATATTTATGAGAATCTTACAATTCAACATTTTTTGAAGGTTCGTGTTTTTTAAGCGCTTTAAAATGTGGAGACCCTGGAATGAAACAGATGTTCCCCTCTTAGAAGAAGGCATGGAAAACAACGCAGAATTTGAAGACGAAGTGGAGATGGTAGTCGAACCTAATCACAATTTAGAAGACGAACTACCTCAGCAAACAAAAAAACGGATCCATTTGTCTTCGGATGCTAAACAAATTGTTTTGAATATTTACAATTTTATTAGAAATTCAAAAGGGAAAGTGGCATGACCAAAGTTCCGAAGTCAACTGTAAGAAAAACTGTTGCAAATGGGATAGACTAGAGGAAAGTGAGAGAAGATGCTGATACTTCGCGAGTTTTTAAAGAGCAACACGCAAATCTAATTAGGCGTATAATCTAGGATGCTTATATAGTGAATAGTGTTTTAACCCTAGAAGAACTGCATAAAAAAGTACTGACAGACTTAAACATTAGTTGTGCCAAAGAGTCGTTGCGTACTTTTTTAAAGACAATGGATTTTCAGTTAAAAACAATTAATAAACGTCAAGTGCTAATGGAATCTCAAAGAATTTCGCAATGGTACGACATAGTAAAAAAGGGTGGTGTGATAACAGTAACAAGTGTGTACTAGACGTGACGCCTTCACATGGAAAACGCATAATAATTCTTCAATAATGCTTCATGATAAAAACGTGAAAGATTCAAGCGTAGATTGTCATGAAAACATGACAGCGGAAATATTTCAGGACTTTATTGTTATATTTAATATTTTGTATACTAATAATGTACTATGTACAAATGTAATGAAATTGAACGTAATAAATTGTTACTTTGTACTAATGTTTTTTATGTACATGTTTCAAGAATTGCTGAAATTGATGAAAACATACTTATATCCCGCTTGCTGGAATGGTTACGGGTAAGGGTCTGCTCGGCAGGGTGTTCTATAAGGGGCTGCGGTTTTGGAGTAGTAAACAGTACGCAAAGTTAATCAGAGGGTCAGTTGTAAAAGCACTATATTTCTGGTTAAGTATACCCAATAGTTAGGTATTATTATTTTTATTGATACTAAATATGTCCGATCTGGTATTACCTAATTAATTACATATACACACACAATCTTACAAGTATGATTTTATAAAATATCTGCTTTTAAAAATATGTTCTTTTATTTTTTTTATTTTGTCTGATTGTTTAAATTGGACCTATTTACTGGTGCATGAAAATTAAAAATAGAAAACTACATTTTCGAATCATTGATGCTTATCCAGTTCCCAAGCAAAAGCAATTTTCTATAAGATTTTTTAATGCGTAGTGTATAACGATTTTGTGAAAAATGACTTCTGCGCCGCCGTTTTGACAACAAATCTCAATGGCGTAAAAAGAAAATTTCGAGTCAAATATATAGTAATATCTCCATAAATACACAGAATCTATCTCAAGAAAGTGACTACACAGTCAATGATAAAGTGCAATGAACTGAAAAAATTGAAAAAGTAAATTGTTAGTCCTTTACGATTATTGATTTATGATCACCCTGTATAACAATGATGCAGTGATGTAAAAGAGCGCGGCGATAAATACGCTTCATAAATTTGAGGTCCTATTTTAGATTGTTCACTATTGAAGCACATTTATAGTTCGCAGATTGAAGCTTATCCTTTCAGCTTTCATTTTCATAAACGTATGATTGTCGTTAAATGTACAGCAGTTTCAAAATACCTAAGAAACCGAGTTGATATTTGGACTAATTTCAATAAGTATCGAATAAAACTATCGGCTCGAATTGTTTGATAGGAAAGGTCTCGACATTGTTTTTTCTCTAGTATTCGCTGACACCTACCGCCAAAGTCTATTATCAACTTTGTGGATTTATCGGGAAGGTATGTATAACTCCCGCCTACATTTTTGTTCATGTTTCGCTGTCACAAGCTAAATAAAAAACCTATTACATACATACAATGTCTAACCCAAGTAAAAAATGTAATTTCTTGGTTGTTTAAGGACATAAATAATAAATTTATTTAAAAGGTTGGCTAAAAAGTTTCGGTACGGAAATATTTATTTTATTTATCTGTTACCACTTTTCATTCAACTTAATTTATGTAAGGACCTATCAATAGCCACTTGCAGGTGACAAACAAAATGTTCACATAAATAAATACAATGATAAAAGTTTTTTATCTGATCTAAGTACGAGAAAGTTATATCCATATATTTCAACAATTTTGAGAATCATGTATTAGGGATAATAGCTAAATTGTTAGGTAGGATGTGCAACCAACGTGCGAAGGAAGCTAATTTATTGTAGTAAATACCATTAAGTAAGGAAGTAGTTAAGCTGGGTAGAGATATTGCCAATTTTTTGCAAGTCTGCACTAGCATATATGTAATGATAAATTAACAAAACTCTCATTCGCCTACCTAGTAGCACCTACTGACCGAAACACCACTCAAACTGAGTATAAGCTCCCCTCTAGTAAACATAACTTGAAAAAGTTTATTTCAAAGAAATTACATTATTTTTATTTTGTATTACTAAAAACATTCCTAATCAATTCCCAGCAAAATCGCCTTAAATCAGTATCAAAATGGAAGATAAGACATTCAAAAAAGTTAAAACTAATATAAAGATGTGGACAAACAGCAGCATCCCTGCTGAGATGATTAAATCTACAATAAAAAATATCATCTAACAAGACCTTACCTTTTTCTATCATAACGTGTCACTGAAATCCAATATGCGTGATAATCCTATCGTTACACATTACCGAAAATATAAAAAAAACAGTCTTATCAAAATTATCGGGGACAAATTGACGGACAACTAGGTATATTGCACAGCACTTCGACACGCAATCACAACGCGGAACCAACTGGTTTCCCCAATTTATTTTCTCTAGTCTCGTTTGACAACATCGTAAGCACCGGCGCAGTGCAATTGATCTATGGTCTGTGAACTTTTATTGCGATCTGTGCCATCCCCTGGTTGTCATGTTTTCGTATTTCATAGGAACAGCACATTTTTTGTTACTAAAGAGAATCATTTTGTTACTAAGCCCGACACCTCTATTCACAGCCAGGATCCGTAAATTGTGTTTTATATATCAATAACTATAGAATTATATACCAATGGATTTTGGTTTTCTAATTGTTATCACATAGGTATAATCAATGCTACAATAATAAATGGATACAAAATGAAGAGATACCTCTTAAAGCAATGTGCGATGACAATATTTGTGCACATGTTGTATATTAAATGTTAGTGTAATTGAAATTGGGGAAGTTGTATTTATTAAAAACTAGTTAGTTTTCTACATTTTTATTATTCACTCAAAAATTTTAGAAAGGAAATAAATTTGTTCCACTCAAGTGAATATCGATGTTTGAAGCTTCGGTTGGTAACGTCTGGTCCCGTTATGTTGCCAACTTGGATTGCCGAAGAGTGACGTATCATTTCGATAAACGATTTCTCTCCGGTTTTTTCCGTGTCAATTAACAGAAGCTGACTTAAAACCGAAATTTATATATTCGCCATGGATGAAGAATACGATGCTATTGTTTTGGGAACCGGATTGAAGGAATGTATTCTTAGCGGTATGTTATCCGTGTCTGGTAAAAAAGTACTTCATGTTGATCGCAACAAATACTATGGAGGAGAATCCGCCTCAATTTGCCCGTTGGAGGAACTCTTCGCCAAATTTGGGGCTCCGGCACCGGATGAAAGTTACGGAAGGGGCAGAGATTGGAATGTAGATCTTATTCCCAAATTTTTGATGGCTAATGGATTGCTAGTCAAATTATTAATCCACACTGGTGTTACCAGATACTTGGAATTTAAGTCTGTAGAAGGAAGCTACGTTTACAAGGGAGGGAAAATATCCAAGGTATTTAAATTGAGGATAAATTGAATTACAATTTACTGTTACATGCAAATTTGCAAAGTTAAGGTGGTATCTATGTTTATATAGATTTTTCAATTGAGCATTCCTAAAACAGAGTAACAAAAATTATTCTTATTGTTATTTAATTTTTTGTAGAATGCAAAAGTTATTTATTAGATGACTAATTTCAATTTGTTCCTTTGCTCCAGATTGCTTATCAAATATTTTTGAACAATGTGAAACCATAAAACAATTGAAAAATAAATAATGCCAAATGAGTTACAATTGTATTTAATGTAGGTACCTGTGGATCAAAAAGAAGCTCTGGCATCTGATTTAATGGGAATGTTTGAGAAACGTCGTTTCCGCAATTTTTTGATTTATGTGCAAGATTTTGTTGAAGATGAGCCCAAAACATGGAAGGATTTTGATCCAAGAACCAAGATGCAAGGATTATATGATAAATTTGGGTTGGATAAAAATACCCAAGATTTCACAGGTCACGCTTTAGCTTTATACAGGGATGACGACTATTTAAATAAGCCAGCTATTGAAACTATTAAAAGGATCAAGCTGTATTCTGATTCCTTGGCAAAATATGGAAAATCCCCATATTTATACCCAATGTATGGACTGGGTGAATTGCCTCAAGGTAACTTCTAATTTTATTCATGTTTCACCTATATGAAAGCTGTTCACTTTTCTTTATATCTTTTTAGTGTTTTTCACTTTTGTTTACTATAATATATATAATGTATAATATTATTTTCGTCACATTTTTCCCACTCTTAATCACTATTCGAATACATTAAGCGATTTTACAATTTCCAAATTATAAAGTTGTAGACACTTATACATTCAATGAATTTAAATTTGGATAACTTTTAAACCTCATCGGATTTTGAATCTGGGACAACTTAACTTGGATTTAATTCTACATGAAAAATTAAAATCTTTCTAGGATTTGCTCGGCTCTCCGCTATCTATGGGGGCACTTATATGCTTGATAAACCAATAGATGAAATTGTTCTGGGTGAAGGAGGGAAAGTAGTGGGAGTACGTTCTGGTAATGAAATTGCCAAATGCAAGCAGGTTTGTCAATTTGTCCTAGTGAAAGAGTTTTTGACATAAATAGAATTTTAGGTTTATTGTGATCCCACTTACGTACCAGATCGGGTCCGTAAAGCTGGTAAAGTTATCCGCTGCATCTGTTTGATAGATCATCCAATAGCTAATACAAAAGATGCTTTATCTACTCAGATCATCATTCCGCAGAAACAAGTAAGTTTGTCATTAGCTGCCTCTTGATTGATCTCTTAAAAAAATCTAAACTCAGTCATTAATAAAATTTAATGGGACCAATGTTTAAAAAGTCTCGTATCTTCCATTTGATACAATTATCTATTTACAGGTTGATCGTCATTCTGACATATATGTATCTCTAGTGAGTTACACCCATCAAGTGGCCGCCAAAGGTTGGTTCATAGCAATGGTATCGACAACTGTCGAAACTGACAATCCGGAAGCTGAAATTAGGCCTGGTCTGGATCTTTTGGGCACTATACGTCAAAAGTTTGTGTCTGTATCAGACTACTACATACCGACAGATGACGGACTCCAATCCCAAATTTTTATTTCCGAATCGTATGATGCAACAACGCATTTCGAAACAACATGTCTGGATGTTCTTGACATATTCAAACGCGGCACAGGGGAAGAGTTTGATTTTTCTAAAATTAAACATGAGCTAGGAGATGAAGAACAATAAGCTTGTTGCATACTGCTAGGTTACGAATCAATGTGCAGTTTTTGTTAAGTTTTGTAAGAGGCGGTTTGTTTGTACTCCCATATTAGGACTATGCTTGGATTTCTAAGTTTATGAAAACTCTCAGCATCTCATTTTACAAAACTTGTGTGATACAGATCATTAATTGCACATAACTCTTTCCCTTAAGACAAAATCAAACAATACTATACTATATACTCAAATAAAGATTGCCACCAATTTTTAACCTATTTTTTTTGTGTTGGTTTTAATAGTTAATGAATTTCAAAATTTGTTCTTTACTTGCAAATGTGCAATGAAAAAATTTTATCAGATTCCAGCTACTTTTTCCAGCATTTTTACTTACATTCTTAACATGTTTTACATGGCGGCACACTTTTTTTTTTATTAAAAAGAACATTGTGTGCTGGCTGTCAACTTTCTGCCAATGAACACACATGAACGCTATTTTCTTTCTTTATAGCCAACTGTAAAAACTAAGTAGTTGTGTCAAAATTACTGTTAGGAAGCCTACTGTGCCGTATCTTCTAGAAAATTATACACACAGGTAACATCTGTCATATTTACTACTTGGAAATACTCAATGTGTTATACACAGTCTCTCTGTATAAATTTAACATTTGGCAAATTTCTTCAATTATCATATTCAGTTAAATTGAATTATTACAAGATTAATAAATTTAAATTTACTTCAAAGCCTCTAAAATTATAGTTACAAATTTTCAAACTACAGATTGGAGATTTTGTCACATCCCCATTTTAATTAATTTTGAGGGGCGTAACCTATCTGAAAAAAATCCTGTTCAATTGTGTTTTTACTCCAGCCCTGTGGCCTATGCATAGATAAAAAGATTTTTTTTTTAGTTTCCGAGGATTCTGTCAAAGTGAGTTGTTATCAAAGTTTCAATCGATTATTTCCTTTTTATCCAGGTCGTTTTAAAATTGGCCTAATGTATAAATGAAAAATGTGTGGGTGAGAAAGAGGCTATTCTTGAAAAAAAAGGAATTCTAACTTTTTTTGTATTCTATTGATGTACATTTGCTAAATATGAATAATATAAAACATAAGCAAAGTCTTTAGTTAAATCGCTCAAATGTAGGTGCTTTTGTTGTTAAAATTGGCAATTAGTCAAAATATGGTGTAGTAGGTTTTCTATTAAATTGTTTAGTTGGATGTGGTTGCATTGGGCAACAAAACATTTTTCTTTTGGTTCAGATAAAGTTGCGTTTGCCTATCTTATTGTCCTCCATTCATGATCGGATTAAAGTGTGGATTAGAATAACTAATTTTAAGATAGAACATTTTAACTTAAGATAGTGCAAAAGAAAACAAATTTAATTGATGTCTGATTCAACCACTTCAAAATAATGCGAAGGAAAAATAATTTTATTTTTTTTAGGTGCCTAATGTAAATTTTAGTATTAAAATATGCTTGGTTCAAGAAGTGGGCTGATGACTATTACTATGGCCATAGACAAGTTTTAAAAGAATGAAATTCAAGAAATTTTTCAACAAATTTAAGCATTTTGTTTTACGCATAGATTCGAAAGAACTTGATTCACTTAACCAATTCATTGCGCCCTGGATAGGAGAATTAATGATTCAAAGTGGGCGGTCAGTTATGTTTGGCCAAGTTGGTTGATGACATTCCTTAAGTTTCATATGTCTATGTAGGTAGTGCTGAACTTGTGTTACTTAGTTTAAAAAAATATTATGCTTGCATACTTTTGTTACTGTGGGAATTCATTATATCAAGGGGTTTATTTATTGTAAAGTAATAAAATGGATTTAAAAACTGTGATGATTTCAATTCTCTATAGCTTTTGGTACCGGGGTTGGATGGACCACAAATCCCAAAAAAAACACCGATTTTACTTTTTTATCAGTTTAGTAAGTCTGAAGTCAATGTTCACAGCTACAAGTCTCGTGATGCACTTTATAGGCTACTCTGAATTTATGTAACTTGCTACAATATACCATTGTGGGCAAGCCTTATAATAATAGATAATATAATGGGGTATAATAGTATACCGCTAACCGGTGTGACCAAGTGATACAGGAATCTAATCAAAACGTGCATAAGATTCAATAAAAAACGAAGAATATTTACTTTAGAACAATTATTACTGCGTTGTTATTAAGTGAATTTTAAAGACATATTTCAAAAGATTTCTTTTCCTATAGTAGATTTGATTTTTTTTATGTCAATAATAATTTTAACCCATGATTATAAAATTTATGACATTTCAATTCCCGTTATTGACTTTGACTATAACCTGATGTCGGTATTATATTTATTAATAATCCTTACCAAGGAAATACACTGGCGCATAATTGGTTGCATACCCGAAGTACAATATTATAGAAATTAAAGCCTTTCACAAAAAGCAATTTCACAGCCCAGACAGATCCACAGTCTGTTTTCCACTTATTTGAAAACTAATTATATTGTTTTTCTTAAATATTGATTTTTATTTTCATTTATTATTTATATTTGTCTTATCCAATGATTTTTCCAAGTAAATTAATATTTAGGGGTTTTCGATATACAAGATTTGAATGTCTCTTTCACTATTTTGAAGGTTCAAGTTTTTTTTTCATTTCGTTATTTATTAGTAAAATATAGTTCTCTTCGTAGTATAGTCAACCAACCGTTCAGAGTTTGATTTTAAACCGTAAAGTTTAAAATTCTTTTCGTTTTTATAGTTATTCTAAGAATTTTTATATATAGTAATTTCATTTAGGTATCTCGTAATCGAGAATTTTTGTAATGCTGTAGATATATACGATTGTAGAAATTAATTTCATTCATCTGAAACCCATATCATTTTTAAACATTTGTTTTTAATTTTTTAGCTGAATATTATTTAGGCCTTCACAAATTTGCAAAACATTGGGTCATAAGTACTTAATCTCAATATGTTCTCTGAATTAAATTTTGATTAGTTATTTCGCTTCTAAATTTGGAAAAATATCTAAATTTGGCTTAATCTCATTTAAGCAACTTTCGATATCATTTTTCTCTTGTTTTTACTTTCCCTAGAATAGTTTTTGGTTTTGCTCCTCTTTGCGCAGGATAGGCCAAATTGATGGACACTTTTAAAGAAAGACCGTGATTTAAATAAAAAACCTAATTGTAAAAACCGCACACATGGATATCAGTATTCCCGTTCCAGAGTTATAGGGTGTTTTTCAAAAATGGCTCTAATTATTTTGTTGTCAAATAATTTTGGATTTCCATGAAGTCATTTCCGAAGCACCTTGGCGCCATTTAGCGACATGGCTGGGTGGTACAAGGTGACGACTTTTTCAAATGGGGGTAAAAGTTGGGTGTATAATGTTCCGAAGCTAATAAAACTCATAATGGTGGACTAACAAGTGTTATGTGTTGATTCTAGTTTTTCTTTTCTAACGTAGTTCGAATTTCTTTGGAATTCGCTTGTTTTGTGTACAGGATTTTCATATTCCATATTTCAGTGTTGATTGCAGTTTGATATGGCTGGTAGACAAAGCAAGTGAACTCCAAAGAAACTCATTTTATAACTTTTTTGTAATATTGGTTCAAACTGTGCAAGGAAGGATATGCTAAAATCAAAGAGTTCGGTTTTTCTAAAATATTTCTTAGTTCACCTTCGAAGATTTAAAAGTTTAAAAGTAAGCCGTAATAAAAGTAAGAAATTTAAGCCTGTATAAGTTTTATTGCTCTCCTCTGCTGAAAAGTCAAGCTCTTGGTGAACTAAGTTATTGAGGTATAACTCAGAATTAATATTCAGATTCAACCCTTTCGGTTGCAAGTTTCAATTTCAGCTGATTTATATGTAAGAGCTTTTATTTTCAATTGTTGGCACGTTGCACTTCAATGATTTACAGTTTAAAAGGTTTCAAATGGTTAAATAAGGTGCTGTTCGTATAACATAAATGGCGGCTGTGATACCAACAATTGCTCCCCCGAATACATCCCACCAGTGATGTTCTCTGTCGCTTATTCTGGTAAATCCACTAAAAATGCCCCATAACATCAGGAGAAAGCAGAGTGTATGTTTTAAAGTCAGTCCCTTCGTTTGGTTTGGTATTCTTGTCTGAAGGATGTACTAAAACCAACAAATTAAACTTTACATCAAAATTAACGCACGACTGAATTGAGCTTTCTCGTGAATTGCTGATTCCATTTGGTTATATATTTTTTTTATTGTAGCTTAAATCTTCAGAAACGATGTCACGAAAAACATTTTCATATAAATTTTAGTTTTAGGCATACAGAGGGTGTGTAAAGAAAACCTAAGTTTATACTCAATGTGAGTCACATCCTGCAGGAATTCAAATTTCAACAATATTAGGTGATTGTCTCATCTTTTCTCAGCACCTTGTTTTTCTATTCAGTTCTTTCCGTCTGTTATAAAATTAGACCTTGGACTGGCCTCCACGCAGTCCAGACCTTAATCAAATAGAATATTTATGGGATTAAGAGGTTAGATAGATCAACATTAATCAGGGAAATATGGACTAATATCGATTTAGCACAAACTAAATGTTCAAAATATGGCTTCTAGATATTAATCCGTAATAAGGAATAGGGGAGGAGATATCCGATATAGGCTTATTATTTGTGTAATGTATATGATTTAATTGCATGTCATTTAATTGTTTCAATTAATAATTGTTTTGTTTTCTTGTATATATCAATAGAAAATAAGACATTTATGAAAGGGATAACTTGAATTTTTAACTTAAATTAAACTTAAATTTAAATAAAAATGTTTTTATAATGTCGCTTTTAATGATTTAAAGTGAAATTTATATATATATATATATATATATATATATATATATATATATATATATATATATATATATATATATATATATATATATATATATATATATATATATATATATATATATATATATATATATATATATATATATATATATATACAGGGTTTTTCACTTAAAACTCCGCACGCCAATAACTCCAAAACGAAAAGAAATATTTAATTTATTTAAAAAGTAGTCAAAGTGTGGGGTCAAGTAGATATTTCCTAAAGTTTAAAAAATTCGACGCCTGCAAAGAGCTGGGCGTCGCGACGCGTCGAAAAATTATTCGATTGCAGAGACTTTGGAAATACGCGCATACAAAAGTACATATTATTTAAAAACTTTTTTGTTATTTACTCAAACTTATTTACTTTACCCGTTTTTAAGTTATACCGATTTAAAGTAAACATTTCTTGATTAATAAAAAATGTGATTAACGCTTATTTTTACAAGTATGCCATGAATGTTAGTTACTATGGCAACCATTGTTATCGCAGTTGTTTTAAGTGCAATTACAAACAATAGATTTCAACTATTTTAGTATGATTTTATTTATTATTTTTTATCGATTTAGTTCTGATAACATGATAAATAAATGAAAAAACAGTAAAATACCTACAAGTTAATAACCAAAATTATTATTGCAATTAACTACATAATAAGACATTTCAAAAATTTTGTTCAAAATTATGTCCATCTGCTCGAACACAACTATCAAAAACTCTTAACAGATGGGCTTGGGTCACTTGTAGGAGAGTCCTTCTTGTGATAGCGGCACACGCTGCACTAATTTTGTTAATGAGATCAGCCATATCTTCGATAGGTTCTTCATATATAACGTTTTTTAGGTAGCCCCAAAGAAAATAATCTGGTGGTGTAATGTCCGGGGACCCCGCCGGCCACCTTACCGGTCCATTAGTACCAAACCATCTATTGGGATATTCTCGGTTCAAATATCTCGTTACTATTTGGGCATTATGTGCAGGCGCTCCATCCTGCTGTAGCCACATATTCATTCTAGTGTCAAGAGGCACTTTTTCTAATAGTTCCGGAAGTGTAGTTTGAAGAAATCTTAAATAGCGATCTGCATTTAAAGTTCCTTCGTAAAAGTAAGGTCCAATAAGGAATCCATTTAATATACCGCACCAAACATTGATACTAAAAATTCGTTGGTTACCTCTTTCTGTAATCCAACGAGGATGGTTTTCGGACCAAAAACGACAGTTGTGTCTATTAACGATTCCATTATTTTGAAATCGAGTTTCGTCGCTCCATAAAATTTTCGAGAGAAAATTTGCATCTTGGCTATACAAATCGGACAATGTCGCTAAGAAATACATTCTTCTAGCATAATCGGCTGGTTCTAGTTTATGAACTAGTTTACTTTTGTACGGGTGAAAAGAGTTTCTATGTAGAATTCTCCACGAAGAAATTATATTAACACCGGTATTTTCTTTTATCTCTGATAGGGATATCTTGGGGTTATTATCAACCTGCTGAATTACAGCAGCAGTATTTTCATCATTTGTGGCCGTCCTGTTCCTATCTCTTTTAGGTTTTATGAAGCTGCCATATTCTCTTAAGTTTTTACATAAACTTGAAAAGGTTTTTGCATGCGGATAACGCCGTGTGTAAACTCTTTTTGCTTCTCTACAATTGCATCTGCATTCTCCAAACACCAGTAACATGTCTACTTTTTCCTCATTGCTAAATTGCACCATTTTCACATAATAATTCTTAGTTTTTTTTAAACCGAACAAATTTGGATATTTCTTGTGACAAAATGTGACAATTTTTTGATACAGCAATAACAATTTACGTTTGTAATTGCACTTAAAACAACTGCGATAACAATGGTTGCCATAGTAACTAACATTCATGGCATACTTGTAAAAATAAGCGTTAATCACATTTTTTATTAATCACGAAATGTTTACTTTAAATCGGTATAACTTAGAAACGGGTAAAGTAAATAAGTTTGAGTAAATAACAAAAAAGTTTTTAAATAATATGTACTTTTGTATGCACGTATTTCCAAAGTCTCTGCAATCGAATAATTTTTCGACGCGTCGCGACGCCCAGCTCTTTGCAGGCGTCGAATTTTTTAAACTTTAGGAAATATCTACTTGACCCCACACTTTGACTACTTTTTACATAAATTAAATATTTCTTTTCGTTTTGGACTTATTGGCGTGCGGAGTTTTAAGTGAAAAACCCTGTATATATATATATATATATATATATATATATATATATATATATATATATATATATATATATATATATATATATATATATATATATATATATATATATATATATATATATATATATATATATATATATATATATATATATATATATATATATATATATATATATATATATATATATATATATATATATATATGGTGTTGTAATTATAACGGATGCCTAATAGTAGCACTCACCCCACAGAAAATTACAACAAATAATGTCAATCCCGTGTGCGTAGATGGAAAACTCCTCGAAATTTCAAATTTAACATTGCTAGTCATTTTATGGGCATTGAGGCATACAAAGGACTCTACATAAGTTCCCTCTGTACAATTTTGATTTGTATCAGGTCTGCAAACATCGAAAAACGTAGGCCGATATTCGCTGTAAATAGTTTTGATAAACCTGGTTGTCACAAAAGCCACCAAAGCTCCTAGTTCGAAAACGGCAAGTAGATATGCGGAATTTAAGATCTTGTCTTTCCAGTTTGCCTTTTTAAAGCATTCTACTACGAGTACAGTCAGGCATGGTATTACCATGAAATTATAGATCATAGTTTGTAAGGTTGTTATAGTATTTCCTCTTGACACATGGGATAGTGAAGAGTCCTTGCAATAAAAACCAATTTTGATTTCGGAGTATCCTATTGCGTAGTAGTACAGGCAAGTCAATACTATCAATACTGGAAAAAGAAATGTTTTCTCATCAAAATTTAAGTATGGATATGAATTCGAATGGTCGTTTTTTTATAAATAATAATTTCATACAACAATGTGTTATCAACTTACGCGTCCTAAAACTTACGTTAAAAACTAAAAAAAAAAAGTTCGAAATCCTTTTGAAATTGAAACTTTTCAAATACAAGCACAAATTTGACCCAAAAACATGAAGTCTCAACTAATTGTCATTCATTTTTTTATTTAACGTAAGTATTATATCTATCGTTAGTGAACAGATCAAATAAATCTGCGTAATACTTACCTAGATATATAAAAACAACGTTTAAAATCCAGCGTATGTGGGCTTTGCGATGATTATTTTTGATATGAAGTGGCGTTTCTGTTAGAATTTCGAGCGAATAGTCTAGAGCCTTAAACGGAGGTTATACATATATTAGCAAGACCTATACCTAAAATTGGTTGGACCAGATGTTCATGAATTACCTAAAGCGGGAAGATGAATTATAAATAAATGAAAGAATTAAAAATACCTGGTAGTAGTAGGTGTTTAAATAAATAATATATTATACAACAAGTATGATAAACTCCATTTTAGTCACGACTAAAACTTGGCACCACTGGTGCGAGTGCTTAATGAACGAGTGAGAACGAGGAGAAGTTTATTAACGTATTGCATACTATAATTTTTCTACACAAAACAAAACACCTTTCGTGACGGAAACACCTGATTGCTCTCAAACGGGTGAGTAAAGTACCGGAAGTACCTAAATGACTCGCAACCGTGGGCAGCGAACCTGACATTGAAATTAACACTTTTCACAAGCCAGCAAAGTATTTTTTCAAATTTTCATCTGTATAAGCTATCGCTTGGCACACTCTGTTTCAGGCACTTATTCAGAAATAAATGTGAATTTTAAAATACCTCTGTTTTCGCCATGTCTCTCAAAAACGTTGCGTTCTAACACACAGTTTTGGGTAGACTTACATGCTCATCATCGGTCATTATTGCTTTTTCTACTAGTGTTTTCAACGTTTAACGCAACAATTAAATAAAGGTCTAGGAATATTTTGCTCTAATTTAGATACCACCTTAGTATTACCGAGGTCATAAGCTATAATGAATTCCTTAAAAATGCATAGTTATATAACTATAATTAGGTAAATAATTAAAAGTGATGAAGTATACGACGGTTCATCTTTTTTTTTAAATAATTCAAAACAAGAGCGACACCGAAAACTGTGGTTATAGAAATACCAACGTGGAATTGCAATTTAAATTGTCGAAATCTGAGAGTTATGAACCACTATTACTTTTTACCTAATTAGAGGATTTGAATTTCATATTTGGATTTTGCCATAATTTTGGTAGGTAGGTATCTACTTTTGTGTATTCTCGTATTACCAGTATCGGTCAACATATCTGGAATTTAATCCCTCTTATTGTCGGAATCCGGATAATTATACGATTTGGGAATAATTTTGTGTCATTAATTGTCAATTAGATCCCATTTCTACAACGACCTGTTGTAGCGCGTAATATATTTTGTTGCAATTTTTCTGACTATTTGTGTTAATATTTCTAAAAATATTGTTTGCTGTTATGTAAATATTATTGAAGTTATTTTTTGTTATCAGTAAATAATGTTACTTTGGAAACTCATTGCGAAAAAGTTATGGACACATTGAGTGCCATTTATTTACATTTAGTCGTTTTTTTAACAAATCATAGGTTGCTGAATGTAACGATTTGTCGGATATAATGCTTATTAAAAAGACGCCGCTATTTATGTATGTAATGCTATGAACTATAAAACCTCACTTTTTGGCAGGAACTATTTTAAAATCGGAACCAAACTAAATTTTGCTTTTGTTGGGTGGAAATATTTCAAACATTATTTTGAGTTTATTGTTTTGTATCATATTATGGATATTTGATAAATAATAAACTGGTTAATCAATTGTTTTCCTTTAGAAAGGAAACGAACCTGCACCGAACAAAGCTTTTGTTATTATTACTTAGAATAACTTAGAATCAATAAAGTTCTTTATTTTGCCAATATTTAAACCGATTTATATTACATCACATTGTATTTCGTCCATACAACTATAAAAAGTACAATTCTGAAAACCCATTTAAAAACAAAATTCGTTTGGGGTTATGGACGGAATCAGTTCGGGAACTGTTTCTATTAGAGGCACTGAATGTTCATATAAAATATTGTCCTCCGTGTTGTTCAACAGTGAATACGAAAAATTCGGAGGTCGTACATAAAACTTGGAAGATTTTGGTTGGTCGAAATATATGTGCTGCAAAAAATTTAGTCCCTGATTTGTAGTACGGTGCACGGTTATATAGGCCTTCTGAAGCTTTTTCTTCATCCGGTGAAAGATAAAGTTTAAGAAATAATTTTCAATGTGAGCCGTCGAATGATTTTGTATCTCAGACTTGCAAGTGCTTCTCAGCAGTTTTCTCTTCTCCTTCATTCGTCGATTTTGGAACCAAATTTTTATTGTACTTTCTTCTATCCCGAATTGAAGTAGTTTTCAAACGTTAGTAGCTGCTGCGATGTAAACTCGGTTCATTTCTTGGGCTTCTTGGTTATTCCGCTATTCTGCGTATAAGGCGTTTTCTGAAGTAGTCACATTTTGAACTTCATCACTGGGAATTTCTACTCGTGCTATAACCATTTCGCTTCGGCAAATGATTCAGGATGAATGTAATTGACTTACGAGAATTGTTTATTTATAGAAGAAATAGACCACTCCCAGTAGCATTGTTATTGGATCATTCCAATGGTTGACAGTCATTATAGTCCTTCTTAAGTTGGTATTAGCTACCTGCTTCAGTGTACCACCTAATTGCGTCAAAATTTATTCGTTTCCACATTCTTAGTTAATGTATTTTTCAAACTTCTTTTTACTTGCTTATTGGACTATTGATTTTTTTATCAGAATAAATTACGATTTTTGCCTTAATGCAATTTTAAATAGCAAAATTTAATGATTACAATTTAAACTTAAGAATGCTGCACTCATTTGAAGTAGAAATGTTTGTATTTTAAAAAGTTTTTAAGGATGACTTTTGGCTTTTTTTGCGTCAATTAGACAGCAACTACGTAGATAAATTTTAGAGATTAATGTTGGCCATCTCCAAAATTGAATATCACCTATTATACTAGCGATATTTGTTATAATTCATTTTATCATCATTGTTTTTGATTTATTACAAGTTTGTAATTCAAATTACTAATTAGTAGACTTCTGTTTGAAAAAATCTGAAACATTTGAAAAATGCAACGAACATTTCAAAACCGTAAACCGAAGATTGTATTTATTAATTGCAATTTGATTTGGTGTGCTGTCGAGTCAAATTAATGTTGTGCCTTCATTTTGAAGGAATTTTAACCCTAATATAAGCATAAAAAATTAACTTACTTTAATTTGCTACAACATAATTAATTTTACAATTTACAGATTTTCCAATAGAAATCACATCCGTGATCCTGGGGATAATTGTAAACCCCATCGCGGTGATAAACGTCACCATAAAAACGACCAGAATAAGATTTATATGGGCCCTATTAAAATGGCCTCTTCATGGCCTTCTTAGGTTGTTTCTGATTTGCATTTAGAGAAACGATTTCAGTTATGATAGGTAAGCTTTTTTAAACCCTCAATTTAACGTCGCGTCTGTAGCTCTGGCAAGATATTTCCAAATTCGTTCGTAATACCAAACGAATACATATGCAACTGTTAAAGTAAATGTAACCTTAAATAATAAATAAACTTTAAAATTCGAAACGCAAAAATTAAAAAAAAAAGTGTTATTTTTGCTGTTTCTTTAAGACTCATTGTTATTCGTTCCCGGTGATGTGTGGTGGAAAAGTCAACTGTAAGGATGCCTATGACGAATCAAACTGTACTAGAAAATCCCGAGTTTATCAGGTATGCGTGAGAATCGCCCGAATATAATGCAAATTAAAACTTTTTTGATATAAATTTTAATTTACCTCATCATCATTAAAACATATATTTATATTGCGGATATGTACAAATCTATCCAAAACTTGCAAAATCCATTGTAGTTTTACGGTGAAATCTAATTTAAAAAGCGATTTAGGTAGGGAGTTGAACATAACTAATAGAGAATTGTAATTTCCCATAATAATTGTTGACTGTACGTTTTCACCCTATGGGTATTAATGGAAAATGCACCTGGTAAAAGCTTAAAAGTACAAAAATGTGAAAGAATCTGCGGAAATATTAGTATAGTGTCACGGTGTTGTCGAAACAATTGTCATGTGAAAATATATTATTTTGTGAAAATCTGAACTTTCAGTTTTTATTTATTTCCTCGGGTTGTGCGACGTGGAAATTTTCAAAATAGATTTTCTGCTTATATATGTGCACATTTTTCGGTCCGATTGGAATTCAAGCAACCCTTAACACAAATGAGTACTTTAACTTTTTAAAAACTCATCTTGACAATATTTTAGACGATCTTCCATTGAATGTACGAAATCAGCTTCATTTTCAGCAAGACGGAGCACCATCTCATTACGATATTAATGTTAGAAACTGGCTAAACGAGCGGATAGGGGTAGATGGATTGGAAGAGGTGGTCCTATTCCTTGGCCACCTCTTTCCCCGGATTTGAATCCATTAGATTACTATTTTTGGGGGCGCATAAGAGATTATACAGCAGAAGTCGACAGCGAGGAGGTGTTGCGCGAAAGGATACGTTTGGCAGGAAATCAAATTCGACAAAACCATTTCGAACTCATATGCGATTAGCCGTAGAGCGCCGCTTTGCCTTCGTGAGCAAGGCAACCTTTTTGAGCACCTTCTTTAATATGTAAAGTTTATAATTTTTATTAGAATCATTACCTCTACAGTTGATAGTTTGATTTGTGTTTCGTTAACAAAATGGTTTATAAGAACAATCCAAGTAAAAACTATTTTTTACCAACAATGAACAAAATTGAAAGCTGTCGAATAATTGACATTTAATTTTTATTTACACAAACAAATGAAAGGCGTCATTAACTTCCAAAGCTTACTACTAATGATTATCTGCACCTCGATTGTAAACATTAAAATAAAACAAAAAAATTTGCAATTAAATTTTCAAAAGCATTTTTCTCGAAAATGGTGTGATCTAGAGAGGTGCGATATTTACGTAGAAAACTTCAGATTTTCAAATTCTCTAGTCCAAATTACGAAAATGCGATAAACAAAAAATTTGGGGAAAATTTTTCCCCCGCCGCCCCTGTGTTACCCACCCCTGAAGTTTAGTAACTGTACCAAATTTTATTTAAAAATTGTGTTTCGAAAATATTTACAAAAAAAATTATATAAATATACAAATATTTACAAAAAATCGCCATCACCTGTTCAAATTTAACACCCAGTATGTCAAAAACTAAGACGTTTTGGACCCTAGTTTATATGAACTTTTATCCTTATTTTGGGTCACAGAATTGCGTGGTTTCAATATTGACGTCTAATTTCTGGTATTAGTAATTCTAACTAGACAGGTCAGGTTTAGATCAACGTTCTTTTTGAAGGTGGAAAATAAGTAAATTTATAGTTTACCTGTTGCAAGACTAAAGCGATAAATTATTAACAAGGACTTGTCCTTCTGAGGAGTACAAAAGAATGTTTGATTATTTTTTTCTAAGGACAATAATCAGATACCTTTGCCATGATGATATCAATGGTAGGAGAATGTGTTGTTAACTGATGTTTGCGATAAACGTTATTTATAATTATGAACGACTTTGACATTCTTTGTTTGTTTGTAGTTTTTCGGATATTCTGTCATAACATAATATTTTATTATAAATGAATGTAAAATTTTAGAATAATTGGCAACACACAATTTCAGTAACAGTTAAATGTGAATAAAATGTTTATATTACTGTGCATCGTAACTAATTAAATCCATTATTATAAAGATTAAATAGAAGACCGTAACTGAAAGGAGCCAATGTTAATAATAATAATAATAAATGAAATTTAGTGAAGTGTTAGTTTAATGCTTTTATATGAATGGATGATTTTTAAATTGCGCACAATATAAATATAATTGGTCCACTGGTCCAACCTTCAAATCAATAATATTGAGATATTTGTAAATTATTTTTTTTCTAAATAAGAAAATCCGCAGCCAACGCATACAAAACTGAATACAAAAATACTGTAGCAATAGTACAAGTACCATCTTACTTTAGAGTATAGCAAGTTTTTTTTTCAAAAATACCAAAAATCTGGTGGCTTGGTACTATTTTGCTAAATAAAAAACAACAATAGGAAGTATCAACGAATTATTATGATAAAGAATAATTAAGGAAAAATATAAAATTCGATAACTTAGGCATCTACTCTGCTTCAACATTGAAATCTAGCTCGTCCACGTCGAATCCATCTACATCTGTAACATTACTTTTACCTGATTTTAAGCGGCTTTAAAAAGGCAGAGCATCCGCCGGTATAAGATGCATAATTTTAAATTCTTAAGTTTCTCTGCTAAAATTGATTTGCCATTTGGCCTCAAGGGCACTAGAGATATAAAAGGTGAACTAATGGTTGTGGATGATCTTCCTCTTAGGTTTTTTATATTTATTTCCTGGTATTCATTTGCTAAATTATTTTCTTTAACTAAGATTTTAAACTGGCCATTCTATTGTAATTTAATGGATTTAATATGTAGCCAGTTTCTTTTTCTCCTGTTTCGGTTTGTTGTCTGTTTCCAATATTTGAAACGCCATAAAATTATTCGATTTGATTTTTGTTACTATAAATGGTTTTTTTTAAAGGCAGTTTCTCATAATTTCAATATAGTCCATTAGGCGTATCAACACGTTGTAGTGATTTTAACTTGCATTCAATATCTCTGAAATCCGAGTCGTTCGGTGAGAAACTGTGTCCCGAGATTAGAAAAGCTAGGGTAACTGTTTCGAGATTTGGGGTATTTTGTAAAATATAAATAGGGAAAAGAGTCATTTTAATATGTCTTTTTTGACCCCCACACTAGTTACTCCACAGAATAAGGTGTTTGGCTTCTGAGGAAATGTATGTTTGACTGTGCTTTAATATACATGATCCATCCCACTTGGATGTCATACGCAGATCGCGAAATTCAAATTTTATAGTCTAGTGTGTCAACCAAGTGAATTGAAAGTTTTAGGCCAAAATGTAGACTATGTACTTTTATTAATTTTGGAATTTTCAAGGTCTAGAGTAGACAAGATTTTGCGGAATAAAGAGGCATTAATTATTGACCAGATTGCCGGTTTATCTAATGTTTTCATATAATGTGATTGGTAGCTTTTTGCATAACAGGGCCCAATTGTGTTCGATCCTCTATTATTTATTTGTTTCTTGTCCAGCGCATCTATTAATTCGAAAACAAATATCTTGAACCATCTTCACCTCAAATGCCATTAAAAGTTATTAATTTATTTAGGGCACAGAAGAATAAAACGAATATTTTTATAAAAATACCTCTAATACACATTTTAATATAAAATACAAACATTTGTTTCAGTCACACATTTAATATGAGTATTTCATAGATAATTTTCACAATGAAAAATAGTAGCGGATGTTAGTGAGTTTGTCCTGCTTTACTTTTCTTGTCTGCTGCGTCTCTCAAATTTCGCTGAATCTCCTCCAACGTCTTGCCTTTTGTTTCCGGTACAAGTCGAGGCGTCAGAATAGTCGCACAGAAACAATTTACGGAAAATATCAAGAACGGACAATACAGGCCTACTCGAGCATCAAGCTGATGGAAAATGGTATTAGTGAGGAAGACGCTAGCACCGAAGGACAGTATCATGACGCAAAGCGCTTTGGCCTTAATACTGGTCGAAAAAAGTTCCCCCAACATGAGGGTCGGGACAACCCCTAGTCCAAAAGAATGGGAAAAGACATACAAAATCATCCCGGCGAGAGGGAACCAGCTCCACAGAGACATGTCAAATATTTGATATTGATCCAAGAAGAAGTATATTGATAACGTGACCAAGATTATTCCAGAGATCAATGCAGAGTAAAAATACGAAGTTTTTCTTCCAACTTTTTCGACGACAATGCCGCCGATGAAATTAAGAACGCACAACAGACCCAGGAACAGGGTCGAAGATACCTGGGCGGATATGTTTCCTCCCGCCTTTTCGAAAATTGGTTGCGTGTAAGCCAGGAAGACACCTATACCGCCTAGCTGTTGCGTGAATCTTAGGAAAATACCCGCTATAAGCGCGCTTCTATTGCTTTTGATTGCGACGAGGTCCTTCCATGTTCCAGTTTCCGATAGTTGCCGGTCCACGTCTTCCTTCATTTGATGGAATTCGGTTTCGATGTCTTCTTTTCTTCTCAACCACTTCAGTGCTGCTTTGGCGTCATCTGCGTGGCCCACTTTCAGCAGATAGTATGGCGAATCGGGCATTTGAGTTAGAAGGATGAAATATAACACCGGCAGTCCGATGCATATGAAGGCCGATGTTCTCACATCAAAAAAGCAACCTAAAAATGATTAAATGTATTCAGTGTTGCAGTGTTTGCTTCACTTCACTATTTTGTTAATTACTTTTGAATTTCATTGAGAACTAGCCTGAATAGTTAGATTCGTGAAATTAAAAGAAGAATAAGGCTGCTACACAAAATAAGTCGACAAATATTACCTATAAGATTAATTAGAAATTCTCCCAGATACATGGAGAACGCAGTGGAGTTTCCCCACAGCCCCCTGATCTTTGGGGTCGAGACTTCTCCTATGTATGCGGGAATAGAGCTGTACAAAGCGGCGTCTCCAATTCCCACGATTATTCGGGCGGCATAAAAAGCCCAAACAGTTCTGGCAAAGATGATTATGATCCAAGCGATAAGCTGTGGTGCGGCTATCAACAACATTGTCTTTTTTCGTCCAATCGTGTCCGTCAGTTTGAAGAAGACCAGGCTGGACAATATCATAGCTAAAATTTTTATTAATTAATCACAGATGCCAAACCAACTATGAGCTTAGAAAGTAGATGTGTAGGTATGCCCTCATTGAATTTCTGTTAATTTCCTTTTTGGGTTTTATAAGTGTTGTTTAGAGATTATTGATACCATTTTATATGTTTATTACCTATTGGCGGAAGGACTGTAAAGTAGGATGCTTGCTCGGCAGTAATATGAAAATATTCTTCCTCTTGGAGTATGTAAGATGTCGACGGAGAACTCCATGTGTAATGCAGCCCATAGCTAAGAGACCCGATACTGGCTGTAACAATGAAGAGAAAGATTCTGTTTTAAAAGCGTTTGCAAACTTGTCCATACTTTTGGATAGATTAAGATTTTTTTTTGACAGAGTTAATGGTGAGGATTAAAGAGCTATTTGGAGCATATGGTGAACTAATTGACCTTCAAATTTTTCGGACGCGTGTAAATTAGTTTGTTTTATAGTTAGTGACAACGTCAAACAAAATTAAATCAAGTTTCAAGAATATTTAACTTAAGCAATTTACGAATTTCCACGTAAATGTTACTGTATAAATCTTATGAATATTCTAGTTATATTCAAGTATGACTAAACGTCGGTATTGGACAAAATTGAGTTTTATAGCAATCGTGCATTCTATTGCAAGCATTAGCGCACACTTACCAACTACTATTGCTAGAATTTGTGGCCAACTTTTTCCTTCCCTTTGACAGGAACCGCTCTCGAGTGCCTTCAAGTCTTTCTCGGGTTGCTTGGCTTCAGTCATTTTGCAGTCAGCTGATATCTAAGACAAACAGCAAACTCTTTGAATTATCCGAGAACAATTAATTATTAAAATTATAATGTCGCAATATTTTAACATAAGAAATGCCATTCGACCACTTGACTTTAAGCTTAAAAGTTTATAAAATTAGTAAATTTATTTTATTTTTTCATCTAAAATTTGGTTAACAGCTTTTTTAGCTTTCTGGATTAAAGTGAAAATATGCAACAGTATAGCTGTCGTACGATTTCTGTATTTTTGACTACTACTTTAGCTTCAAGGTCCTTCCTTAGTTGTAGTAATAGTTCATTTAAGGGATGGTAAATATTTATAACTAACATGATTACGTAAGCGAGGGAATATTATAGGGACAATGAATTTATGTTTATATCTTTTACCGATGTGTAAGATTTGAAAATGCTAAATCTAAGAAAAGACATTGATAAACCGATTACTGATAATCCGAAAAAAGCCTATATTTATTTCAATAATTCAATGACTCCAGTTTGTAACCTCAAATAAATTCTTTCGTAAAATGCTACTTACACTTGCCCGATGCCAATAAGTATATCCCAACACTGCAAGAATGAATTAATTAATTTGGTGAACAAAAAACCACTTTTATATTGTAATATTTATCACAGCGGATAATATTACAATGGCGGTAGGATCATATTCAAACAAAATTATTTAATATTTACAGTACGTCATTTAAGATTCCACTACAAAATTGTAAGGATCTATAGATGTGTGTATACTTTATCGTCAATCCAAACGTAGTCATAGGCTATCGCGAATAAATAATTTTCTTGTAGGCTAAGAAGAAGCGAGTATAAAACATTTTAAACAAAATATATTGTATTTTTGCCCATTTTTTGGGTTGTTTTGATATAGATTTACTACGATTAGGGACAGAGCAAACAGCTTCATATTTAATTCCAGTTTTAAAGCACAAATACAAGAAATAAAAGTCAAAACGATTTACGATGCATTATTTTAGATTATGTAATAGTATATTATGCAAAGAGCTTATAATATATAATAATATAAACGAGTGACTTACCGAACTTGTTGCATACTATACTTTTTCTACGACCGATAGTTTTTTGATACATTTTGGCAAAACAACACGAATACATTCACTGACATGACCGCCAGAATTGACAAACGTTAAAATTGCAAAATATCTCCGAAAACATCCGACTGCTCCCAAACCCGTGCGGTAAAATCCCGGAAATGCCCGAAGTGGCTCAGGTCCGTGGGAAACGAAACTGACGTGGTAAAGTGACGCTTCCCACAAGCTAGATCGGTGTGTAATTAGGTATTTTACAGACGGGAGTAGAAAAACATAGTTTCGATAATGTATGAGATCTAGACTTTGTTGGTATATACGAGGGGTTTCAAAACAAATGCGAAAAACTTAAGGGGGATGATTCTTTGTTAAAAATAAAGGTTTCTAATTTGTTGTAAAGAAGTTGGGTCAAAAGGCAATCATTAGGGAGATATCGCGATACAGAAATGGCGATTTTTTTTACAGCCAATAGAGATAGAACAGTAAAGCATTACGGAAGTATTATTGTTATAAAAATACTATTCAATATTTTTTTATTTCTATAAAATGATTGGAGGGGATTGAATTGGACTAATCCATCATTTCTCTTAAATAAATTTAAGGAAAAACAACCAATGACATAATAATTAATTATTTTACTTTATGTCTTATTTAGAAAATTTTCATTTCCTGCAATTTTTTTATAATATACTTTACTTACTTATAGTTTCCAAGTAAACTTTAAAGCAATGCATACCGAGATAAAAATATTTATCTTATAAAAAAATCTCGTGGGTTGCTGTCACTTCTTAAGGCGTTTGTTATTATTGTTTAATTTACATTGATATATGAAAGAATTAGTCTACAGCAATACGTAATATTTGTGACGCGATATCTCCCTAAAGAGTTAAGTTTTTTTGCTTTGGTTTTGGAACACCCTATACATTATTCATACACATATTCTTGTTTAATGTTTTTTTGCGTTTTTTTTTAAATTTAAATTAAATTATATATATGTATAGAGTATTATTTTATTATTTCTCGCTATGGTTGTTTGATTTTAGTTATAAATTAATGAAATAAATAACAGAACAAACCATACTTGCTGGTTCGTATATTATCCAAATATTGAATGTGCATGGTCTATATACAAAAAGCGTGCCAATTATTTTTACATTTCATAGTTTTAAATAGTGACATACATAGCATGAATGAATTACTGGTGATTCACTTAGGTTTCTTTTGCTCTGTTTCAAAATAAATTGTTTATAAAAAAAATTAGTTAGAATATATACTTTATTTTTTTCTTGATAATTTCGTGAGCGGTTTGTTACCTAATGTCATTTGGTATACACTTCAATAGGTATTTCTTATTTTTGTACATATCTATTTTTGTTGACTGTCTGTAGTAGCGAATATACATAAAGGTAACAAAATTCAGTCATTATAGACGTGGTCGTAACTCATGAATAGAAGTCGCGTTGATAATAAAGCCTTGGTAAACGTAATAAATTATACAGCTTAAATATCCAAATATTTATTTGAGACTCTGCAGGGGATCTCAAACACAATGGAATTTAGGGATTTATGACAAGTAAATCTGCTTTCACGTGAAAACAGTAACGAAAAATTGACTAAAACCATTTTGTCGCATGTAACAGAATTACATCAGAGATCGATCTTGAAAATAGGTTGGTAGTTCCGTTTGCTAATGTAATGTACGTTCAACGGCATATCCTAAGCTAACTAAAACATGTTTGGCCGAACCTTTTCACACTAAAGTTTAAGCTTACAGGCTAAATGAAACATTTTAGTTATTATGATATTAATATATTAATAGTTTAGTAGTTTAGCTAATTAAGTTTACTTAGGACAATTAATACAATACATAATCAACTGACAAGCAAATTGCGTATCTAAAATTGGATAATGCTTTCGTGAAAATTCTATTTAGCATTCCTCCTGCGCCTGTTTTTGCTGAGTCGAACTTGCTGACGTTTCGCCAATCATCCTGCAGGATTCCAGTCGGAGTTTAACAAACGAACAGTTTTAGTAGCAAGCTCTGAAGAAGCCAACAGGATGATTGGCGAAACGTCAGCAAGATGAACTCAGCAAAAACCGACGTAGGAGGAATCCAGAAGTTTTGTAAAAAGTACTACAGTAGCCTGTGGAAGTTTCTTTGAAAAATTAAAACATTTAAATTTCTTTACATTCATACTTTTTATGTCGATTTTACTAAAGCGATTCGCCAGAGTATTATGTATATTGAGATCTAGTTTATTAACAGTATTCTGCGAATTGGTGACATTGGAACTATTAAGTTATATGCATACCTAGTTGAATGACTATGAACTTGTGAATGCTTGGGGTATTCACTTAAGCCTTTATGTATTTCTACATGGGTCTCAAACAGATATACTAATAATAATCCAATGAAGTGTCGTGCTCAGATTTTTCTATAGTTTTCCGTTGTCACTATTACTTTCTGCCATTTCCAGATTTTCACGCGAAAAATAAAATACATTTTGTTATTTCTTTTTTTGATTTTTCTCTTTTTTTTTCGTATAGGCTAACGCGCGAGTCAACCCTATGATTAAACAGAACCTAAATAAGGACTCTTTCTCTTTCGATATTGGGAACACTTTTCCTTCCTTAGTTTTCATATTTTACGTATAACCATATTTGCAGAAAAGAAAAAATTGATTAAACGTTTGTAGTTTTACCTGTAATGGTTTTTTAATTACAGGTTTTAACGATCTGGTTCGATTTGTCAACAAATTGTAAAGTATACAATTACGTGGTATTTAATAAATAAAACATTAATTTGTCTTGTTGACACGGAACAACTTATCAAATTATTTTTTTTTATAGGGCGCTCGTGGATTTGCAGTTGCATTTCCGCCCCATAATATACCATATAAGTATACTTCCATTTTCATAATGCGACTATCGAGCTTTTAGGTGGTAATCGTTTGCTGTTTTGTTTTGTTGCATTTATCAATTTCGGTGAATATCAACATTTCCAATGAAATGGTCGATAACAAATATCAGAGGAACGTCGGACGCAAACATATCAGGACTATGCGCGGCAACAGAATAAGACGACTTATTTATTTTTAATTTCATATTTTTCTTTAATTTCGCTCCTTTTGCTACCGGTTTACATGCCTGTTATCGATTGCGATTTGTGATTAATTCGTTACTCGAAAATGCAATTCAATTGAATTAATTTAAATCTATTGGGGTCAAGTAATACAAAGAAACAGATTTTATTACTTCATCCTCATGATACACTAAGTATTTACGAGTCAATATTTTTACTGACGTGCTGATGTAGTATTTCCGTTTTTTGGGATTACATATGTACGGGGCGGTGCATTTAAGATGGTCCTACACTTTATCTCAATAAGTCCAACACTCAAAAAAAAAGTTTTTATTCATAGGGTATTTATGTATACATGAATATTTTTAAAAATATAAATTATTCTCTTGATTTTTAGTATTTTTTGTCATTACATAGCATACGAAATTTGGAGTAATTTTTGAGAAAAATGAACTTTTTCATTTTTTTGGGGAAAAATATGTTTTTTTGCAATTGAAAAGTAAAATTGGGATTTTTTATTACGATTCATGAAAGTTAAAATTTATTGCTTTGAGCTATCTAGGACGAAAATTCATTATGCAGGGTGACATCAAAAAATGTTTTTTTTAATTTAAAAAATCCAATTTTTAAAATGGAATACAGGATATTAAACATTTTTATTGGGTTGGAGAATCAATTCTCTATCATTTTATATTACAATATATAACTTTTATTACAAAAATTGGTAGTTTAGAAATTATGGCCAATTTTCTGCAACAGCTCGTGTACTTTATTTTAAACTAAATCTATATAATATTCTATTCGATTTTTTTAAAAAACATTAATTACTTAAATTCAAGATAAAATCAATAAGTAATGCAAGTAAATAGACCTTATTACTGATTACATAACATTTTCTACATAACCTCCATCTTTGGCAATAAAAGCAGTAAATATGGTTTCAATTTTCGCAATAGCATTTATTACCGCTTCTGTTGCAGTAAATCTTTCTACCTCTTGCCGAATTCTCATTCTTAAGTCTTGAACATTATTACACTTACTTTATAAACTTCGTTTTTTAAGTAGCCCCATAAAGTCCAGGGGCGTCAAGTCAGCGCTTCTCGCTGGTCAATTCATGGTCCAATCCAAAATGGAAAACGTTGATTTAAACAATTTATAACAGGCACTACGGTATGATATGACGCCCCATCTTGTTGAAAAACAATCCCTACTTTAATATGCTGCTGCAGATTAATAATAACAAATTTAATTATCTCTCACCAGTCAGAACAAAAAGGATAAAATACTGGGCCTATTATTTGATCACGTATGCCACAATACACATAAACACTTCTCCAATCCTGTTTCTTAATTTCTTTTACACGATTTTTATTTCAGATACACCAGTAATTAGTACTTTTTAAGTTGAACGTACCAGCCGTATTAAAAATTGCTGCTTTGGTAAATAGATTTTTTTTAAATGTCACTCTCAAGGTAATGGTCCATTATAAGGGAACAATAAAAGGGTCTTGTTTGAAAGTCCTGTTGGTATAATTTCTGAATTGGCAAAGATTTGAATGGATGGTAGTTCTTTAAACACTAGTCTGAATAATATCCGGGATGCAATGCGAATTTTTATTGTTTTTTCAAAATGTAGGAGAACTTCTAATTGCTTCTCTTCTGTTCTCACGACCAATTCGTGAAAAATATGTTTACATTCATGAATATTTAAACGTTCTTGAACACTGCAAAAAGCCATTTTTTCTTTAAAAAAAAAATTGGAGACAACTAAATGTCATATAAGCACTGTGTATTTCTGTCCTGGTAACAATTTTTTAGTTTTTTTTCCATGGATATCTTGTGTAAAAATGCAATGTTATAAATGCCATTGCATTACCTGTTGATTTTATATTAAATTAAAGTAATTAATGATTAAAAAGAACTTGGAATAGGATATTATATAGGTTTAGCTAGATTTAAAATGAAATACAGGAGTTGTCGAAGAAACTTGGTCATATCTTCTAAATTAGTAAATTTTGTAATAAAAGCTATAAATATGAAATCGTGCAGAATTAAATCCCAAACCCAACAAAAGTGCTAAATAGAGGGTATACCATTTAGAAAAAAAAGAGTTTCTTTTATTAGAAAAAAACTATCTTTAATGGCAATTTGTGATCACCCTGTCGCCATAGATAGGACAAAGCGTTAAATATTAACTTTCATGGGTCATAACAAAAATTCCTAATTTTAGTTTTCATTTTTCTCAAAAACTACTCAAAATTTCATATGCTGTGTAATGAAAAAATACTAAATATCAAGCGAATAATTAGAATTTTCAAAAATATTCATAGCATTTCATTTGAACTATAAAGTAGGTTACTGCCCTGGCACAAAGAAAGACCCTGTATTAAAAAAATACTATAAATAAAATATACTAAGGATCAAACACTTCTTACTACATACCATGTTCCTCCTTTTACGATGAACATGTCCATGTGACCTTTTTAGTTATTTTATGGCTAGTTTGTAACTAACTAAAAAACATTGTGTTTCCCTCAATAGGATATGGAAATCCTGTAATTCGTAGGTAATAGTGGCATTTGTTTTTCATTAGTTAATTAAAAAAAAACACTGGCAATACGTTTTTTTATTATCAGCGTTCTAATTATGTACGATTGTTCGAATAGAATGAAACTACATTAAAGTGAAGTGAAACTATATAAATTAGAATAAGATTGAAGAATTATTTTGACCCTAATTACAACTAAAACGTACTTAACCCTCTCTTCAGATCCTGTTGTATTGTTTCGAGGGTCTTGCCTTTAGTCTCAGGTAAAAAACGTAAAGTAATTGCGGCAGAAATGAGGCAGTTGAAAGAGAATACGAGAAAAGGACAGTAAAGTCTGACGTGCATGCTCAGCTGGTGAAAAATAAAATTTGTAAGGAAAGAGGACAAACCATGGACTATAACTAATACACAAAGACATTTGGCTTTTACTTTTACTGAAAATAGTTCCGCCAACATCAGTGTGGGAACTACTCCGACACCAAGAGAAAAAGAAATTACAAAGAAAAACATCCCGAATAAAGGAATCCAATTCCACGGCGAAGTGTCGACAAATCGATATTGATCCATGAAAAAATATATCGATAGAAGGAACAATATAATGCCACAAAATAGTGCTGTATAAAAGTAAGAAACCTTCCGACCGAATTTTTCTACCGTAAAGCTACCGATCAACGATATGACGGAAAATAGTCCGAAGAAGATATCAGAAGCTAGTTGAGCGGACAAATAATTGCCAGTCTTCTGGAAAATTGGTTGAGTGTAACTAAGAAAGATAGCGATACCGCTTAACTGTTGCGAAAACCGCAGAAATATTCCAATCAGCAGGGCCCTTCTGTTGCTCTTTTTTGTTAGAAGATCCAGCCAGGTCCCAGTTTCAGATACTTGGCGCTGAATCTCGCTGTTCAGCTTCGCAAAGTCTTTGGCGGTGTGTTCCTTCCTGCGCAACCAGGTTAACGATGCTTTGGCAGATTCAAGTTTTCCAATCTTTAAAAGGTAATAAGGTGATTCTGGCATCCGGGACAGTAAGAGCACATAGCAAATAGGAATTGCAATGCACACGTACGCCGTTGTTTTGACATCCGAGAAGTGACCTAGAACATAATTGCTGTTGCTTTAAACGCCAAATTTGGTATGTTATCTGTACATTTCTGTAAGGGATATTTATTATTAAAACTTAAGAAATTAAAGCTTATAGGCAAAAGTTGTTTTTATTTATTTATATTTTATCCTTATATGAATAGGGTGTTTGTGTTTTAGTGGACAATTAACAACTTTACTATTTTAAATAGAATATCCTGTATAATAAACAATCTTCGAATTTTTCAAAAAATTCCTATACCTCAGTTTTACCATTTCTCACATATTTTGAATTTTATGGTAAATCTGATGTTTGCACGTCGGTACGTTGTATTTAAGACGGAGATAGCTTTATTTCCATAAGACTTGAGTTGAAAGTGTTGGATATTGTCAGTATAATACAAATGTAAAAATATAAAATTATGGTAGTATAATTCATTAATTAATAATAATAATAATAATAGCGAGGAGTAGCAATATGTTTTTAAGAGTGTATTTGAATTTTGTTTGACTAGTTATCTCCTTCAGTTCTATAGCAAATTTATTATAAATGTTTACAGTCCCCAACAAACCAAGGCGTAGTTCAGCCAGGAATAGACTTAGGAATTAAAAAGTTTACTGAACGTGTTGCATACTATATTTTTCCTAGGACCGTTAGTTTTTGGGTACATTTTCGCAAGACAACATGAATACATTCACTAACAGAATTGACAAACGTCAAAATTTAAAGCGTGGGAAATATCTCCGAAAACATCCGATTGCTCCCAAATCCGTGCGGTAAAATCCCGAAAACGTCCGAAGTGGCTCGGACCCGTGGGAAGCGAAACTGATGTGGTAAAGTGACGCTTCCCGCACGCTAGATCGGCGGGTGATTAGGTATTTTATAGACGGGAGTAGAAAAACTTTATGTCTTTGTCTGAACCAGGAGAGTCTCAAGTCTACATAAACTCTGAGCAAGGTTACAACACTTTTTTGTTGGATTGTGCTTTCATTGAAGCGTACTAATAAACTCTTACTTAAATCCCGTGTTGAAAAGGCGATCGTTTTAGTTTTTATTTCATTTAATACCAATTTGTTAATTTCTGCGCAGTGATTCATTTGCTCAACAGCTTGCAATGCTAAGTTGCTCAGATGATGCTGCAGAAAGGACAGAAACTGCTTCATCCGCAAAAAGGAAGATTATTCTGAAAATTTAGTTAGTTCCATGAGCGGCGATGCTCTATCATTCTAAAATATTTTTACTGCCGCGACGTTGCCGCTTTTTCGAAAAAGTAGTATCTTCATTGCAATTTTAAATAGGACATCAAACACCGGTTTTCTTCATTCTAGGACATTGGAGCCAGTAGAAAGTTAAAATTTTGGACCTGGATTAGTGAGGCATCGTTCATAATTTTTAGTATCGTAATTGGTTCTACAGGATTGGTCAAAACTAATTATTTGCCTACCAGCTACAATAATGGTAAAAAGTGCATTTTTAAATGGAACATATTCATATTCTAAGAGCCAATTAAATACTCTCTCCAATTATGTACCATATACCAAACCTAAATGGTTTTGTTTCTGAAGTAAAAGCATATTTTAGGTGACAATATCCGTCTTATGTTAAATAATTCATTTTCCGTTTGACAGTTCAATAATGATTTTCATAATATTGATTGTGGTGCAAATTTTGTCAGTAAAATCGGTTCAAAATGGAAGGAAACCAGTATTCTAATGCTGTTTTAATGAATTTGTATATTATGCATGGACAAGGCAACATATTAAAGCCATAACATATAACGAAATGTATCCTGATTTACACGGCACGAACAAGACAAAATTTGCCAGAATTGTGAAAGGCTTTACAAACCATTTTAATAATTATTTATTAAAATGGTTTGTAAAAATTGCGCACTGAAAAATGATTCACATTTTAACATTAGACATAACATTTAAAATCCGTTAATGTGAAATGATGGTGGTAGCTGTCTTTATCTTCCATGAATCTATTTGTTCAAAGCATAGTACAATCCGATGACTTAACTCTTCCTTGCTCTACACCGGTGTCAAATAGACGCCTGACTTTAACGCACCCCATAGAAAAAAATCTAATGGCGTGAGATCGGGCAATTTTGCTGGCTAATCTCACGGCCCCAAAAGTCAAAACCAATGGTCATTAAATAATTGGTATAATTCTTGTGACACCTCCTCAGTGCAGTGAATAAATCTTTATGAAAATGAATTATTTAATAAAGACGGATATTTCATGGCCACTTAAAAGTTTCAGTTTATAGAGAAACTTGTTTTTATTTGAGAACCTAAAAGATTTTGTTATAGGGACATGACATATCATTCGAAAGGCAATTTAATTTGCTCTTTGAATATGTGATAATTTATATGGTGTTTTTAATTTTCTACTGTCTCCAGTATTGTAGTAATAAAAATTTAAAGTTATGTTTTACTAGAAAAATAAAGAAAATAATTAATTTATAGAAAATCGCTAAAGATATGTATAGGAATGTATTATTTATTTTATTATTAATTTTTAAATATTAACACAAACTGCTAAGGTTGATCCTATGTATATAGCAGTACAATATTTTAAAAGTATAAATTCAAACAAATTTTGTCTTTAATTTTTTTTTTTTTTCATATTCGGTGATGATGTATCATTCCATAGTAAATGGGACACCCCGTGCATCTGTGAGGCAAAATAGGATCTCGACATCTTGTATTAAAAATGTATTGTATTAAAAATTTAAAATGTTTTTTAGCTATAAAATGTAAAGGAACACACATAAAAATGGGTGTAATTTCTTTTTCGTGTAAACACAAGAAAATAAGATTAAACTGCGTTGGTGAATTTTAATAATTTAGTCATTTTTTTCATTCAGATATTATAAAAAAGATCCCAAATAACAGTAACAAATTATATAAAAAGCTTCGGAATGCAATGGTGAACATGGTAAACAGAAATATAAAGATTCCAGGATTCCCTTTTTTCAAAATTTTGTAACAGTACAAATACGTTTTCAAAAAACCTATCGAAACCGACTGATTGCCTAATACAATTTTCTTTTGCCCCAAATAACTGTCTTGTAGGTACATTTTATTGCTAGTGAAACGCATCTTTAGATAATATTCAAATTGCTGCAACCCGTATATTTGTTTATAAAAATAAGATAAGGCAAATGATGTATAGTGAAATGCAACAAAGTGCAAATAATATTCAGGATCTTCTTTGGGTAATTTTAGTTATAAAACTTTATCGCAACTCTATATCTAGGGAGTATTTTTAGAGATACAATAGTGTAGATGCTTAATTAACTACTACTCTGATCCCATCAATTTTGATAATATAAGTTTTACCCTGAAAATTAACATTGAATTTCTCTTAAAACAATATTCCGTAATAGAAAACTAATCCCCTGTTTGAATTTAAACTCACCAGATAAATTTATGCCGAACTCCCCCAGAGTCATCATGAAATTAATAGAATTGCCCATTATTCCTCTGACGGTGGGAGTAGTAATTTCACCTATATAGGCTGGAGTTGCGCAATACATGGCGGCATCGGCAACACCTGACATTATTCTAGCGATATATAATGTCCACGTGTGTTGGTCAAAAATTATAATAATCCAAGCAACGAGATGAGGTATTGCTATTAGCAACATGGTTTTCTTTCTTCCGATGAAGTCCAAAAGACGATAGCAGAATACGCTTGATATCATGGTAGCTAAAAATACATTGAATTTCATAAATTTTAATAAAAATTTGTGATGCTAAAAAATTTAGCAACAAATTTGGTAATCATGACTGTAGTCACGAGTTTGTGAAATATTCGATCGCCCCCAAACCTGTGATTAATCGTCTAAATATTTAGCAAAGTTGACGTATACGATGATATTTTTTCCACTACTGATAAGTGAATCATTGGTTATTTTAGGGTAGCTAAAATGAACTTTAGTTGAAAGTAAATTCTTTGTCAGCAGCAACTTCTATCTGCTGAAAACATGTACTAAAAGAGCATCGCGTGGATAGAGAGGCTTAAGAGTTCAATACCACTAGAATCACACTTCAGCAATTCAACCTCTAGAAAAAAATGGCGTAGTGCACAGTACAGTGTTATTAATTATATTTCGACACCCACCTACAGGGTTAATTTCGAAAGATAGAAAAAAAGTGTAGAAACCAAAGTTTGAAGATTTGTGCTCTTTTAAACAGACGACGATCGCCCGCTGTCGAAATATATTTCAGTTTAAAAATAATTATCATTCGATTTCCGGACAATGGCCATATTGTTTAAAAATGGTAAAGTCTGCCTTGATGGTCTACTTTTGATAGCTAATCAAAACTAAAGATCTGCAGCGAAAGTTCAACTTAAGATATTTCAAATGGGTTATATTGAGGAAGAAAAACGCCAAATAATAAAATTATTCAACCAATGAAAATATTATTAATTAATGCTAAACGTTTTCTATATAACCTCTATTATTTTCTATAGGGGGCGTGGGCAAGACCTCAAAAATTAACCAATTTTTTTTTCGTTTTTTCTTATAATAATTATTAATTCTGGTTATTTGTACATTTTTAGCCCTTTGTGTAATACCAGGGGTAAAATGGACCGCTTAAATTTTGTTTTAAAAAAGCTATTCCGAATCAATCATAATTATTTTTTTTCTGACATTTGCATAAGATAATGGAGCAAGAATCTTTAAAATTATGTATTTACACAAAAGTAACCCTGTCGGTGGGTGTTGAAATATAATGAATAACATTGAAATTTACCTATCGACGGGATGACGGTGAAATACGCTGCTTCATCCTCTGTAAGGTGATAATCCTTGTGTTGAAGCATATATGGGATGGAAGGAGAAACCCACGAGTTGAAGATTCCATTACTGAGAGGTGCTAGGCTCACTGCAACATAATATTCTCAAAGTATTGGTACTGGATGTTCGAAGTTGAAGAAAAGAACAATTTCAAATTTCCAATTTTTTCCTTCTTTAATGTTATGCATAATGATATGCTGGACAACACTACATTCATGCCACCCAGAACATTGAGAGGTGCCGATTTGGTATGCGATCTAAGCTTTGGTTGATTATTTCAAGTTCTAAACTTTGTAAACTGTAAGTATTTGCAATGCCTATGAAGGAAGAGTAGCAGTAGCAATAAAAGCTCGCTCCTACCATCTGTAGGTTTTAATGCAACTAAGCAATTTTCGAAAATTAATTACTTAATAAATCTGCTTATGCACTTACCAATGAGAGTAGCTAAAATCTGAGGCCAATGTTTTTCTTCCTCTTGGGCATTATGCAGCCCCTTAGATTTTAAAGTCATGCTAGTTATTAGAACAAGGTTTACTTATAATCTACGTGAACCTACACGATTATGCGATGTCAAACATATAAAAAGTGAAATCGTAACAGTTGATGAGTATGACTCGCTATTAGTCCAATTTTTCTGAGTTTACACCAAATTCATAAGTTTATTATCAGTCCCTGTCAAGCTTCGCTTATTATAGTCTATAATGACATGTTTAAGAATAGATAACTTATCGCAAGTTCGTTATAATTTTGGAATTTGGCAACCCTATTAAGTGAATATGGTTCATTTTCTATTCAAACAAATCATTTAAAGGGAAACATGTTCTTATATACAGTTAGATGGAAAATACCTGTCCCATCGTCTAATCCTACGTATTGGAATTGACAAACTCATTATTCTTATAAAAAATTCTAGTTTTAGAATAGATGTTTGTAAAAAAAAGATAATTTTGTTCCCAACAATTGACCCTCCTCCCAAAGTGATTTGTAACAACCAATATATACTAAAATGTTCTGTTTGTACTACACTTTTCACTGATTTAAAAACTTATAATTAGTAATTCGACGTTTAACTCATTTTGCTTTTTGCTACAAATTGTTGTCCAAGAAGTTTTCGGTTTTATTTTATTTTTCAAGTTGACACCATCTTAATTAATTAAAAGTTCGTTGTGTTTGGAATTATTTTGCGGCGGTTATTAATGCAATGATTTAGATCATCTTGATTAAAATTCAAATTCGCCCAATTCTATTTTAAACGGGAAAAATATTTTAGAAATTTTTTGTCCCCCGTCTTCAATAAAAATCAGAGCTGCTAAGTTTTAGTTCGATGAAGCGGAGCGGGGGAATGAAACCAAATGAGCATCCGATACGAAATGCAAAATAATCAGCGTTGCGATGTTATAAATTGACTTCCTGACTTAGCGTTTATACGTTATCTTGATTACTAGTATCACCAGTATTTTTCAACTTTCTCTGTGATTCATTGAGTGTTCGGATTTGATTTTTTATCTCTCATAAATTGAATGATTTAAAAAATGGCTTTCTGGTTGTTTTGCAAGGATGAAAACTAATAGCTGTCTAATAGCTCCAAGCGAATTATATATAACAGTTAACTCCATGCCATGCTCAGTGTCACCAAATTTCGCAATTCGTATGTCAACAACAAATTACAATTACAGCGAGTTTACCAAATTAAGGGCCTAAAATCGTAACAGCATATGTCGTGTTTAATTCCGGTATCGGAAGCTTGCCGCTGTAAATATGAACAATAGAAAATTGAAACTGAAAATGAATGTCCAATAAAAGTCCAATCAAAATGTCCGTCAAATCTGTTTTAAAACAAAAAAATGTTAAAATATCTAATTTCGCACCAACCCAGAGTTTATCACTAAAGGAATAGAAAACTCGTGTTTGAATGACCTCGGGATCGAACAAACCGAATTCCCATCTTTCATTGCAGTTGTTTGATTAAAAACAGTAATGGAGTTTTACGGAAAGGATGTCATTAACATGTGCAAACTGTGTGCTACATTCCTGAACATTTGGGTGATATATATTTACCCCAAAGCGTAAAGCAATTTAAGCGAAACGCTCTACCGCTAGCTTCATTTCCCTTTGAAGTTGCAATGCATTAAACTGTACAACAATGCATTCCATGCGAGCCGAATCGCAATGACTCAAGAGAAAACTTAAAAAAAACTTGGTTAGTCCTTCTCATTTCGCTTATTTTCCTGGAACTTTTGTTTATACAACCCAAGTACATTGACATGTAGATACTACTAAACATATCGTTTGGGCAACACAACAACTGTAAAAAGTATCCTTGCTAAAAAAATGTTGTTTAATCTGAAATGTTGTTTTATGTAGATTTTCTGCGGCCTAAGGGTTTTCCTCGAGGGACGCAATTTTTAAATTATGCAGGGTCAGGACTGACTTGAATTTAAATTAGATGTTCAGATAGACTGCTATTAAGTCGTTTAACAATATTTGTCAGTTTTCAATTTAAAGTTAGTTTGCACATTACGAAAAGTCATAAAGATTTCTTTCCACGATGGAAATTAAAATATCGTTCATTTAAATTGGAATTCTGCAGCAAGGGCGAGCACATATTTTATTTGTTTTAACCTTATGGAATAGACAACAACATTAACATGGAAGAAAATCTTCTCTTCATAGCTATATGCTATTAATTCTGGATATAAATTATCAAAATTAATTCATATTCCCAAGATATACCATAAAGTGGTTTCTCCAACTTTAATTTGATTAACTTCACGCCAAGAAAAATTGCAGAATTTTTACAGCAAAATGAAAAATGTGTGTGATTTTTAAATAAAAATATAAATTTTCTTTAACCAGCATATAAAATATAATTTTCTGCACGTCTACACTACACTACCAAGTTCAGCAACAATCACAAATTAAATTAGCTCCCAGTTATTTCTTCTAAACGGCACACAAACGAATTTATGGATTTATTTGTAAAGTTGGGAGTCGTGGTAAAAGTTTTATTGCAGGTTTACCGCAAGCGAATAATAAAAAAAAACATTGCTATGTTGTTACATTAAAATTGAATAATTGAATTGTATAAACATTTTTTGTTTATACATTTATTTTGTTGTGCAACCGGCATGCGTTTCGTGTATTTAATATTTTACGTTATTGTTTTGCTGACATCTATAACGTTATGGACTTTGAATAACAGTTGACTTTTGTACGAAACTTTAATGGCTCAAATTACCTCAAATTCTCAGTCTAGTGGCGTAGAAAAGGGTTTTAGTTTAAAAAATTAAAAATTATGACGTATTACACATACAACTTATTCAACATTCTGGACTATGAAATACTATATCACTATCAAAAATATAAAAGCAAATCACGCCTGCAAGAGTTTTAGGAGAAAGAAGCTTTTTTTTACTGGTGTCTGGTGTAAACGCATCGATACAGATAGTATTAAGGATCGTTCCCCTGAACTCCCCGGACTAATGTTTTAATAAAAACAATAACTTGTTGCAGGAAATTTCAAGAGTACACTGCTTATCGTTTAATTTTCCCCTAACCAAAAATGCTCAAAGCGCTGTCTGAAATTTAGAAATCTAGACCCGAAAACTGTTTCCACTTCAGAGTGTTAGATTTAGGATTTTTTTCAGTTTCAGCTCTCTTGAGGGCCCATCAGCAAACTCGAAGTTTGAGGAATCCAGAAGCAGTTCCACAGTCTATGGAAGTGTTTTCGAAAAAAACATGAAAAAAAACACTTTTTCTGATGATGATGATGATTTACTTTTTCGAAAAAACCAAATCATTTTTTTGTCGCTTTCCTGTTCCCGTTGTTTTAAAAATCACGAACAATTCATGCCTATCGTACGATATGAATGCAAAAATCAAACATTATTCTGATGCATGAGAAGTTAGTAAACAATTCGGCGTATTCCTGTAACGCGATTCCGAAATAAAGCAAAGCATTAAATTCAAATCTGCATACAAATTTGAAGGAACAAGCGATTCTGGTAGTTTTAAACTGAATTTCAACTTGATTTGAATTTAAAATCGTTTGGAGATTTGGAAACCTGGCTTGATTTAGAAAGTTTCAAACTTAATTATGAGACACGGAAATATTCACCGGTAAAAATCATGTATAGTCAGGTAAAGAGTCATAAAGGTTTGCAGGGTCGTTTAAGGTGTAGAAAAATTAGAAAAGTTGAAGAAACTTTTAAACCAGTGTTATAAAAACAGACATAAAAAATAACATAAATTTACATAAAGCACTCTTCTTGGATCAGATTTGTGAAAAACATTAAGTTACAAAACCAATATGCCACCGAAATAGATTTCATCTAGAAAACCGCACATCAGGACGCCAACAATTAATCTACCTAAGCGAAGAACCCCGTATTTACGAAAAGAGATTAAAATAATGAGAACAAAACAATCCGCTTTATAATTAGTTTCCCTAAAATTTTAATGCGTTATGTCAGCCGTGTCAAATGGAACAACTTTGTAAATAATGCTCTTTGCAGTTTGTACTTAGCGCCCCATATATCTACTTACTTATTTTAACATAGTTTCACGGTTGGGTGCAATTTGTGTCAGTCAGCTCTGGATTTAATGCAGTAGCTCATATTAACTTTATTGTGCAGAAATACGTAGTTTGGATGATTGGGCTAGAACCCCTTTGTGGAACGGCTAAACCTATTGTTAAATCAACCATAAAAAAATAGATGGGAAAAGAATTCTGCTAATGGTAAAGAGACACGCCAAGACAAATAAGACAGAAAATTCGGCAGAATTTGCAGAAAATCTGCAAAGCAGATAAGCAAGGCCGTGTAAGTAATGGTAGGTCTATTAAGAGGCCATCGCCGGCTTAAGCGGCAACTAGAGTTAGAGTTTTGCCAAACTAGAAGTTCATTATTATGAACACTTTCTTCAAACTACCAAAGCGTAGATCATGGACTTGGAAATCTCCGGCAGTAATCAGCTTGATACCCAGAACATACCCAGGATGTCAGGTAATACTGAACATATTGAAAATTGCAAGAATTATAAAATCGATGTAAGAAAAGTTAAGAGTCCGGTGTACTTTGGGAAACGAAACATAAAGTTAATAACAGCCTAAAATGTTTACCAAACTTTCTAAACACCCCTAATGTAAAGTTATAAGTTATAGCATACAAAATGTTTTATTATCAGCAGGCAAAGAAATGCTAACTTGGATGACAGGTAATATTATGCGTATAGTTATTATTCCTGAATAGTGGTTCTCGTCTATATTCGTAACGTTTCCTAAAAACTAAATACTACAGAAAGTTGCAATCATCAAACAACAGCCCTAATAAGCCACAGTTTGAAAGTATTTTTAAGAACAATTTATAGCGGAATATTTAATAAGCTAAACTCGGAAATCAGAGATAATCGAACGCAAAGAAAACTAAATACATGATTATTACAAACAAGGCAAATGGTACTGGAATTTTTATTATAGAAAATAGCACAATAGAAAGAGTAAGAAAGTACTTGTAATATGGCCACATGAAACATTCGAGCAGTCTCATAAAATCAAAGCTGGCATAGAGATAGCCAGAACGACATTAAATCCGCTATTCAG